TAGTCATAAAAACCTGCAACAAAGAGGGAGAAGGGGGGTATTATAAGGAATTGAACCTCTAGATTTGCTCTGACTGGCTGACTCAGTCTAGTCATCATTCACATATGCGCACATAATCATGCTACGTGAGCTTGCTTAAGCTTGAGTTCTCATCTCATTCTTTTCTTCCCTTTCTTAAGCAATTCGTCCTTGTTATATAGGAGGACTAGCCTCTAGTTCTTAGAGCTTAACCCTTTACACTTTTCAACTAAAGCAATAATAGACAGTGAATGTAATATCTATGATCTTATTTCTCAATTCTATGTTAACAAGTATAAGCTCCTGTGTATTGAAATTCCTCCTGTTAAAATGACTGGCTTTGAAGACTCTATAATACTCTCCATGAGCATGGTGACTGACATTCAAATTAATATATGTGGTCATGTAACTGAACAGGCTTTTCTCTATGTGGTGAATGAATTACATAGTCATGATATGTATCTAGGTGACCCCTGGCTGGCCCAGCAAAAGATGACCATGATCTCTTATCAAAGAATTGTGAGATTTGAAGAGAGTGGCATAGAGATAAAGTCTAGTTCAAATGCAAAAGCTGATGTGATTCTCATCTCTGCTATAAGCTTCTTTAGGCTTGTGAGCACTTAAGAGAAGTGAAACATTGAGATCTTCACTGTCAGTTTAACTGATATTCAAAAGACTTTAGAAGTGAAACCAAAGATTGACCTTAGAGAAAAGCTGCCTGAACATTATCATGAGTTTTTAAACATATTTGATAAGGAAGCTGCCAACACTCTACTCTCACTTCATGGCCTAGATAGAGATCATGAGATTGAACTGATCAAAAAAGTTAATGGTAGCACAGAACAACCCTATTAGAGCTCATTATATAATATATCTTGAGAGAAACTACTGACTTTGCAAAAGACTCTTACAGATTATATAGATAAGAGTTTTATTAAAGTAAGTAACTCTCCCATGACTGCTCTCATACTATTTGCAAAGAAGTTTGGGGGTGGACTAAGATTCTATGTGAATTATTGAACTCTTAACAAAATTACTTGAAAGAATTGATATCTTTTATCATTAATCAGTGAGACTCTACAGTGAATTAAATGAGCTAAATGATTCACTAAGCTGGATATTATTGCAGCTTTTCACAAGATTTGAATCACAAAAGGTGATGAGTGGATAACAGTCTTTAGAATCAGATACAGACTATTTGAGTAGCTGGTTACACTCTTTGATTTGGCCAATGCTTTGAGCACATTTCAAAAATATATCAACTGAGCATTATGTGAATATTTAGATGACTTCTGCTCAGTTTATTTAGATGACATCTTGATATTTTCCTTAAGAAGCTTACAGGAGCATCATGAGTATGTACAAAAGATACTTATACATCTACAGAAAGCAGGCCTGCAGGCAGACATCAGAAAAAGTGAGTTCAAGATGAACAGTACAAAATATCTTAAATTCATCATTGAAGCAGACAAGGGTATACAAATGAATCCAGAGAAGATTAAAGCTGTTTTGAAATGAGTGATATCTACTACTTTTAAGAGTGTATAAGAATTTTTAAGCTTTATTAATTTCTATAGATGATTTATCAGAGATTTCTCAAAGATTATGATCTCACTGATAATTTTTACATGCAAGAATGTTCCTTTTTTGTGAATGAGCAAGACTGAAGAAGCTTTTAAGTGTTTAAAATTAATGTTTATCTCTACTTCAATCCTGCTTCAATTTGACACTGACTGTGAGACTATATTGAAAACAGACTTCTCAGGTTATGTCTCAGGAGAAGTGCTGCTATAATATGATGAGCAGAGCATTCTACACTCATGTGCCTTCTTCTCTCACAAGTATTCACCTGCAGAATGCAACTATGAGATTTATGATAAGAAGTTATTAGCAATAATTGAGTATTTAAAGAAATAAAATGCTGAGCTATAATGTGTAAAGGAATTCAAGATTCTCATAGATCATAAGAATTTAGAATACTTCATGACTACATGCAGACTAAATGAAAGACAGCTACATTGAATGGATATTCTCTATCAATTCAACTTCAGAATTGATTACCAGCTAAGGAAGTTGAACACTGAACCAGATACTCTATTATGAAGAGAGCAGAACATGTCACAGAGTACTGATGATGAGAGAATCAAGCAGAGACAAGCTCAACTACTTAAGTTTAATATACTGACATCTGAAATGAAATCAATAGTGACTGCTACTAGTGTGAAACCTGAGATGTCTTTTCAAGCTCAGTAAAATGAGACTCACAAAAATGATAAAATTCTGCAGTGTCTGAAGTAGACTCTTCATAAGAGAAGATTTAGATTTTCTTCTGAACTCAGCATTAAGGCCTCTGTCTCTGAGTGCTCTTTAAATGAGACCAGAGAGCTTCTCTTTTGAGATTGTAAGTGAGTACCAGACTTTAAATCTCTTTGAATCAGATTAGTATATAAGGCTCATAACTTATCTCTTACTGATTATCCTGGGTGAGAGCAAATGACAGAAGTTCTAAAACATGAGTTCTACTGGTCAGACTATGCTGCTGATGTGAAAAGAATGATCAGGAACTGTCATCTTTGCAGATCAAACATCACATGAAGAGATTGATGTCAGGGACTGCTTAAGCCTCTTCTCATTCCTGAATACATATGACAAAAGCTTTTCATAAACTTTATTGTGAACTTATCAAGCTTTAAAAAATATATAAACATCATGATTATAATAGACAGATTGATCAAGAGAATTATATTACAAGCAGTTAAGAAAACTGATGTGAAGACAGTGGCTAGAGTGTTCCTTCACAACATCATCTCTTGACATAGCATTTCTAAGACAGTAGTGTCAGATTGAGAGTCAGCTTTCACAAGCATATTTTGAACTCAGGTGTGTGAGAAATTAGATATTAAGAGATGACTCTTCACAGTCTATCACTCAGAGACTGACAGAGCTACAGAGTGAATGAATTAGACTCTGAAAATCTATCTACACAAGTATATTAGCTTTTAACAGGATGACTGGTATGAATGACTTCTTCTGGCAGAGCTGATCATCAATAATAGAGATGCTGTCTCAACAGATGTAAGTTTATTCTTTTTAACACATCTTTTTCATATCTTCTTCATTGATATAGCTGATATACTCTCTGTTGAAATGTCATATAATCTCATTGAGTTTGCAGATAATTATATGAAGAAGACTCACAAAATATTGAAGTGAACTCAAGTAAAAATGACAGATGCTCAGCAATCTCAAAAGAACTATATGAATAGATGAATAAACTTAGCTTCAAGCTTTTAACCTGAAGATAAGGTCTGGTTGAACTTAGAGAACATAAGAACTAATCACCTGTGCAAGAAGCTGAATGAAAAATACAATTAATATACTGTGCTAGAAAAGATAGAATTTCATGCTTACTGACTGAATGTCTCATTTGACATTTACAATGTCATTAATGTAAAGCTTCTACATGCTGCAGTGATGGATTCCCTGTCTAGTCAGAGGCAAACTGACTGACAGCCACTCATTATAGAGACTTTGAAAGGACCTGAGTTTGAGATTGAGAAAATTTGAGGTGAACAAATCTACCAGAGGAAAAAGCAATACCTTGTTAAATGAGTAGGTTGAGCTAAGCCTACATGGAATGGTATGAGTCTCCTACAAGAGGCAAACTGACTGACAGTCATTCATTATAGAGATCTCAGAAGGACCTGAGTTTGAGATTGAGAAAATTCAGAGTGAATGAATCTATCAGAGAAAAAAGCAATACCTCATTAAATGAGTAAGTTGAGCTGAGTCTACATGAAATGATGTGAGTCTTCTACAAGAAGTGAAGGTTTTGAATGCTCAGGAGGCCTCTCAGCAGGTAAAATTAGATGTAAAGAGGGCTTTAAATAGTCATAAAGGCCTGCAACAAAGAGGGAGAAAGGGAGTATTATAAAGGGTTGAACTCCTAAATTCACTCTGGCTGGCTGACTCAGCCTAGCCATCATTTGCACGTGCGCACGTGATCATGCTACCCCTAGATTCGCTCTGGCTGGCTGACTCAGCCTAGTCATTGTTTGCACGTGCGCACGTGATCATGCTACGTGAGCTTGCTTAAGCTCGAGTTCTCATCTCATTCTTTTCTTCCCTTTTTCAAGCAATTCGTCCTTGTTATATAGGAGGACTAGCCTCTAGTTCTTAGAGCTTAACCCTTTACAGTAGTTCCTCTCAAGACATATTATATAATGAGCCTCAAGGGGGTTGTTCTGCACTATCATTAGTCTTTTTAATCAGTTCAATCTCATGATCTCTACCTGAGCCATGAAGTGAGGGTAGAGTGTTAGCAGCTTCCTTATCAAATATATTCAAAAACTCATGATAATGTTCAGACAGCTTTTCTCTAAGGTCAATCTTTGATTTCACTTCTAGAGTCTTTTAAATGTTGGTCTAACTGACAGTGAAGATCTTGATGTTTCACTTCTCTTGAGTGCTCACAAGTCTAGAGAAGCTTATAGCAGAGATGGAAATCACATCAGCTTTTATATTTGAACTAGACTCTACCTCTATGTCACTCTCTTCAAATCTCACAATTCTTTGATGAGGAATCACAGTCACCTTTTGCTGGGCCAGTCAGAAGTCATCTAGATACATATCATGATCATGTAACTCATTCACCACATAGAGAAAGGCCTGTTCAGTTATATGATCATCTATATCAATTTAAATGCCAGTCACTATGCTTGTGGAGAGTCCCATGGAGTCTTCAAAGCTGGTCATTTTAACAGGAGGAATTTCAATGCATGGGAGCTTATGCTTGTTAATGTAGAATTGAGAAATAAGATCATAGACATTACATTCACTGTCTATCATTGCTCTAGTTGAAAAGGCATTATCTACTAGAGCATTGACAGTGAAGGGTTTGAATATCATTTTAAATTTAAATCTTCTTCATTGCTTCCTCATAAGCTTCTTATTTTGCTTCTTTCAGTGTCTTTTGATTGAAGCTACTCTTTTTCTGAATCCTCACTCATATCCACATCATTGTTGTTCAGTACTGGCTTGGGGATCACCTTAGCTATCATGAGGGTGGCAGGGTGTCTGGGAGGTTTGAACAGATAGCTCTTAATCATATGACCTTTAGCTTCACATCTCAGGTACAGGCCTTGCTCTTTTTGTTGATTAACCTCTGTCTGATTTATCAATTTGATGTAGCAGGTGCTTGGGATCACAGCACCAAGAGAGAGGTTCATCAGATCATCAGTGGAAGCTTGAGACTGGTTTCATCAGTCAAGAACAGCATGATGAAGTAGAGAGTGTGAATTAGACATTGTATGATCTGAAGAAGATCTGTTCTCATGACATTTAGATCACTGCTTTAAAGTCTTCAGCTCAGAGAATTGATAATCAACTAATCTAAGCTCCTTGCAGTAATTCTCATAGAGAGATGATTTTCTTACACTCATCACACCTTCCCTCAGCTCCATGCTTAGAATGGATTTCAAATACCTTTTTTTAACATGATCATCTTATCTGTGATCACCAGCTTCCAGCAGTAGCTGATTAAATTCAGACAGAAAGTCAAAGAGAGCTCTTCTATTCTGTCATAGATTGTTGAGCTTTTGCATAGCCTTTTCTTGTCATGTAGAATCACTAAAGAGCATGTGTGTCTGCTTCAGTAAGCTCTCTATCATGAAGTTGATCTTGTTCTTATTATTCTCAACTCAGAGGTAAACTCAAGCTGCTGCCATTTCTTTCAGTCTCAAGTACACATACCAAGCACATTCCTCATTATTATTTAAAGCTTTTCCATTGACCTTAAGTTTTGATTGAAGCTTTAGCTCTCACTGAGGGTAGTGCTTCAGATTAGAATCATTATACTTCTTGCAGTCTGATAGCTTAGTCTTTAATCTTCTGACTGCAATGAGTGATTGCAGATTCAATTGAGAGAGAGTTGATGTCAGAATGTTCAAAGCTTGTTGTAGATTAGCTATTTCAGCTTGCTGAGCTGCTATTAAATTTCTGTTCTCACACTGAACCTGTTCCTGCTGTTGAAGAAAAATCATTCATTGTTGTTCAAAGCTGCTAAGGGTGTTCTTGCTTATTGCTTCATGTTGATCTATTTGTGTATTTGTTGTACAAATCTGTCACTTTATCTCATTCAGCTAGACATTTTCAATGTTACTTATTCATTTGTTAGCATGATTGCTAACCCAGTCTATTCATATACCAGTGCTATCATTGAACTTCATGATGCAGAATTTAAGGCTCTCAATAGTCTATCATATATCAGCATGTTTGCTGAGCTTCATGATACAGAATTAAGACTCCCAGCGGCCTATCAATGAAAGGAGTGAAGCAATTTATAATATAAAGGATTAAGCTCTAAGAACTAGAGGCTAGTCCTCCTATATAACAAGGATGAATTGCTTGAGAAAGGGAAGAAAAGAATGAGATGAGAACTTGAGCTTAAGCAAGCTCACGTAGTATGATCACATGCACACGTGCAAACAATAGCTAGGCTGAGTCAGCCAGCCAGAGCAAATCTAGGGGTTCAACCCCTTATACTCAGTGACTTCAATGCTGATGAAGATAACATATTACAGAAGTTCAGATAAGTAATTTGTGACAATTAACTCAAAAAGAAAATACATCAAGAAATATATCTCTCTGTAGTTACAGATATCACAAATCACATGATATTTGCAATCACTGCAAAATGCAGTTGGACCTTATGACAGATGAATATAGTAATGATGTACTTATACAGAAGACTTGGAAAAACAGTCTATATGAGACAACCTACTGGCTTTGAAGAAGGAGCTCCATGTACACTTGTTTGTGCAGTTGAAGAATCCATATATGAGTTGAATCTAACTGTCAAAATATGATATGATTACTTGACAGCTTTGTTATAGAAGAACAGCTTTATCTCAAGTTCTTATGACTCTGTTCTTTAGTGACATTCAGTCTAAAAACACCTATATATGACCATATACATTGACAATCTTCATATTTTTGTGGATGCCTCAAAGGATGCTGATTGACTAGTTGATGTTCTGCACCAGAAGCTTGAGATTAATGATTTGAATGAACTCACAAAATATCTAGACATGGAAGTAAAATGTACAAATAGCAGCATCAAATTGATCCTCTGACATTATATCAATTGATTGATAGAAGATTTCTACCTGGATGATGCAACTACTGTTTATTCACCCATGGATGAAAGTCTATGCTTGAATGACTCTTCTGTTTCTGAAAAAAAGGCTGGTTTTACAAAACATCAATTCCAACATGGTGTTGACTGCTTGCAGTATTTGACAGTTAAACTGCAGCTGAATATCACTCACATAGCTTTTCTATTGACACAGAAGAATATTGCTTCTATCTTTAAGATATGAAAAACTCTATTATACATCATTCAATATTTAAAAGACATGTGAAATCAGCATATTTTATGTGAAGGATGATGATGATGAAGGACCTGAGAATGATTTCTCTAATGTGGCATATATGCTGATCAGATACACAGATTCTGACTGAGTTAGCTCATTGAATGATGATCAGAAGTCTACATCTGACTATGTTTTTATGCTTGCTGGTGTGTCAATTTCATGGCAATCAAGCAAGCAGTCATGCATCTCTTTGAGTTCCAATGAGACTGAATATATGACATTGAGTGAGACTGTATATGAAGCAATATAATTAAGAAACATGATGATGAATCTGAGCTTTATAGTGAATGACTCCCTGTCAATCAAGGCAGATAATAAAGATATGATTGATCTAGTCACTGTAGCCACAATCACTGCTAGGAGCAAGTATATTGACACACAATTCCATTACACCTGTAGTCAATTGAACAATAACATTATCTTGATTGAATACATCCCAACTGAAGAAATGACAACAGACAGATTGACTAAACCCTTGAACACAGTGACATTTCAACAATTCCTTAATTTACTTGATTTTACAGGTGGAAAAGGCAGGAATGTCAAAACTTAATGTATGTAGCATGATTTGAATGGATTTGAGGATGGCATAGCTAGTTTTTCCTTTTTCACATATGGCATTCAAGATCCCACATGGTGATGTGAGGGGGGGTGTAGCACCTGCCTGGGTGGCGTTGCCCTAACGACCATCCCGCCCACACGTGATCGCTTGTATGTAATATAGCAATAACCTAGCTAGCTCCTCCGAATAGAAGGTTCAACCATCCCACAGTTTATAATCAGTCATGTGATCATGTGAGCTGTTTATAATCTGAGTAGATTCTGACACCTCTTTTTCCTCATCAATTTTAGTATTTCATTTTATAGCAGTTATGCTACTGAGCCTCTATCACTAGCAAGCTTCACCTGTGGCCGAAGGGTAAGGTTAAGCCGAACAGGAGTGCCGTAAGCTTGATAACTAGGACAGGCAGTAGTGCCACTATCACGAGTAGTAAGGACATCAATTAGAGGATCCTTATAACCAACGATAGCTACGGCTTGGGGCAGGCGTGCGTAGGGCTTGGGTGAGACGGACACCTGTGGGTAGAGAGTCAAAGCTATGACAGGTAAGAGTGTAGTGTAATATCAGGTAGACGCTGATAAAGACAGTAAAGGGTGAGGGCTCCGAACGGGAAGTAGAATAGTATGAATAAGTGAATTGATCATGATCAAGAAGATAGGCTTCTTGATCCTAAGGGTAATGAGTGTGTTTATATACATGAGGAGACCTCCTGATAGATCCTATAGATCAATAGATGATCCGCTACCCGTTATATCAATCTATCTGATAGATTGATAGACGGTGTTCTACCGAACATATCAATCTATCGATCACGTGACCTTTCCCTGGGGTTAGTCCCGGAACCTAGGGTTGTTCCGTCCGAAACCCTAGTTCCTTTATCATCCGCCATCCTTATCCAATGATTCCGAGGGATGCCTTGTTGGTTCACAACAAGTTAGCAACATAGAGAGATTCTTTCTTAGACAGCTCACATCCAGTTCCTAACACAGAGATAATCAAGTCTATAGAGAAATATATCATAAATAATACTTTAAGAAGAGAACAAAAGCAAAAATCTTAAAGTTGCAAATAAAACAAAAATGAAAATAAAAAAGAAATCATATATATAAATTAAGTTTTTTTTAAAAAAAAATTAAAAAAAAGTCAAAAAGGGAATAGCTTTGTACAAAGTATGATTCAATGAGAAAAAAAAAAATTACAAAATGCTGAATTTTAATCATGAAAGCATGCATTATCATAGTATAGTGTATATAAAATTACTTAAACATATCACTTATACATGCTCTCAATAGACAGAAAATGATCAATAAATTAATTCATTAGTTTTTTGTAATAGTTTGAGACTTAAAGATTTAATATACTCAAGTTAAAAATACTAATTTACTTGCTTGTATTATATTTAGAGTGAGTCTTTACTAATGTAATTCATCTTTGAGTGAATCACATCTCTGAGCAAATTATCAAATTCAAAAAAGCTTCAACTTTCTAACTCATTCACTTCAACATATGAGAATGTCACTAATTTATAATAAAAATATCAAAAACTTTATAGAAATGGAGAGAAGAATTGAACTTATGATAGAAGCTTTAAATAATAATGAAATTATCTCAATTTGTGAAGCTGTATGTCTTCATGAGGTTTTATATACTACTTTATATTATAGACTTAATGAATGAACTGTATATATAAATCTATGTGCAAATTCAATCAAATTAACTGAGTCTAAAGAAAATCAGCTAGTTCAGTAAATTCTAGATCTGATAAAATAAAAAATATCTTCTTAATCAGTATTTACTAAGAATATAGTCAATTATCTTTTTAAACTTTAATATTTAATCTTTATCTCAATCTCTGTCTCTCAGATTGGCAAGAACTAAATTTATAAGCTGATTAAACGCTATATAGAACTTCATTATTATTATTTTAAATACTATAATTATAAGTAAATTAAATATGAAAATATAGTAATTATTCAGACTTGATTTAAAATTTTGAAGAATATAATTACTAAGTATAAAATTTTATCTAAAGATATATATAACTTTGATAAGACTAAGTTTGCAATAGAGCTCTATATTACTACTAAAATTATTATTAGTAGTGAGTACTATGATCAAATAAAGCTTCTATAGTCTAGAAATCAGAAATAAATAACTATGATTAAGGCAGTTAACATGTCAAACTGAGCTTTGCTTTTATATATGATTTTTAAGAATCAGAAGCTATAAAAAGACTAATTTAATAAGCTTTCAGATAATTAAAGACTTAATATTAGTTTCAATAACTGAACTATAGATGAGATAATAGTTAAATAACTTATTAAACTATTTATTTCTGCTGCAAATTCACACAGAATTGATACTTATTTTCTTCTTATTCTGAATAGATATAACAATCATCTTACTTCAAAATTTGACTACATCTGCAAAAAAATAAAATTATTCTTCTTTGCATACCACTACATTCATTACATCTCTTGTAGTCATTATATGTGAGTATTTTTGTAGTTTTGAAACACATGTACACTGCTACAATCTTATTAAACAGTGAATATAGCTTGAATTCAATATCATTAAGAAGGCAAACTTTATAAATGCTTATTCTGCAGCATATATGAAAGCTTTTAAAGCTCAAAACATTCAAAGCAGTTTCAGAGCTACTGATATAATGTTATTTAAACCAGACTAAGTCATTTAGCAGCTAGATATTCAACTCTGAATCTCTATCCTCAAGTCAGCAGATTAAGTAATTCAATCTCATTCTCAGTGCTTCAAATACTTGGCAACTTGTGGGAATTGCAATAACAGATCAAGAAGATCAAAAGCTTTATGAAGGAAGAGCAGCCTTAAGGTTTAGTGAAAGGACTTGATCAAATTATCAAAGTCTATAAATATAAAATAGTTAATACCACTATTATAAAAAAATAATATCAGAATATATTCAATGCAAATGAGAAAAAGAAGCAAAATGCAAGAGGTCTACCTGAAGAATTCAACAAGAAGAAGATTTAATCAGACAGAAAGCTACTCAACTTGCTATTCCAGCTGCTGTGCTTGTTAAACAGTTAGTAATTCAACCCCCCATACCTCCATTTACAAAACCTTGACCATGGTCAGAAGTTCCACAACAGTGCAGCAATTGCAATTTGCCTGGTTATAAGAGAACAAGATGCCCCAATTTTAGTGTAAATTAATTTAATTTAATAAGGCATTGTTGATATGGATATTTCAGGTTAAATTCTAGCTAGTTGAAATATGATGATTTTGGTGGTTCACTCAGGAGTGTGGTTCGCTCGGGGGTGGATTACGTTACTCAGTATTTACTTACTCGACTTACGCTGATAGTTAGTTGAATCTGTACTTTCTTACCAGTTACTGAACTGGTTGGTGTGTATGTATTAGCTATGCACATGTGTATGCACATTATCATGTCCTTAATTATTTTGAAAATTTTTCTTATTTACACAGAAGCGAAGGAAAGGCTGTGCGAGGAGAAGTTTGCAGGTGAAAGCAGAACGCGGTGGTCGCATCACGTCTGACAATACACAATAAAAATATAGAAAGTGAGGCAACTGGAGGAGCAAAGAGCCGTTGCCATGAACTCATACATTCTCTCACTTCACGATCTGTCTCATCATGGTGGTAGGTAATAATCAAAAGAAAAATAGGGTGGGATAGAGCGAAGCGAGTGGCCTGTTGCAAACTTCATGAGGGGCGTTATGGTATCAATAAACGAGGGAATATAAATCTATAAAGAAAGAGAGGAAGGCGGGAAAGGAAGGAAAAGGGAGGAAAGTAAAGAAAAGAAAACAAAGGCTGGAGACCAGAAGTGAACAAGAACAGGTCGATAGATTCCAAAAAGGGGGTGGCTGAATGGTGAGAAAAATAAGGAAATAATAAATAAAACGAAAACACTCAGCTCTCTATGGAACTTCTGCATCCCCTCTCTTCAACCCTCCCGGAACATTGATCGCCTCCTGCACCCACGGTATCTTCGCGATCTCATCCAGACTCAACCGCTTCATGCTTTTCCGGAGCAGGCCTTCAACACATACCCGTGCACCCTCCCGTCCCTCTCCCCGGACAGGATCCCACTCTCCATCCTCATCTGCGAATCGGTACCACGACCATTCGCAGCGGGCTATTCGGTGTGGAGTTCGCGCTCGAAGCTTGTCAGGGTCTCCTTTGGTTCCGGGCAACGGATCAAAAGGAAGACGGCTTTCCATGATCGCATAGAGCAGTACTCCCATCGCCCAGGCATCTGTTGACCGGCCATCATACGGTTGACCCATAAGTATCTCTGGGGCCGTATAGTCTTCACTACCACACCTCGTTTTCAAAAGAGGGCTTTCCGGTGGCTGAGGGATGCGCCGCGATAGGCCTAGGTCACTCAGCGTGACAAGGGCACAAGGATATGTTTGCCAATCGTAGACATCCTGTATCACTGACGCAGGAATGTTGACCAGCACATCTAGAAACAGGAAATTAGCACCTAGACTTCAAAATATAATAACAGGAATTTGAAAGTATAAAAGCGGAAAAGAAAGGCTGTGGCGGGAAAGAATCGGCGGGTAACTGTACTCTCAAGTTTAATATCACGATGCACAATAAAGTGTGCGTGCAAATATCGCACCGCATCCACAAGCTCTGCAAATATTCTCCGGATAATATGCTGTGATAGAGGTGTCACTGCTCTACTGGCGAACTCAAAAAGGTCACCACCAGGACAGTGGTCCAAAACCAATAGAGCTCGTTTTTTATCGTTTCCAAATGCTTTCAACTGGACGAGGGATGGGTGGTTGACGGACTTGAGAATCTCAACCTCCCGGTGTAGCGAGATTTCCACTCTTTCTTCGTCCGCACCACCAGCTGGACCGTACTCGACAACTTTTATTGCCACCAACCTAGGTGGCATGGCTGTATTGCTACCGGCAGCAGGGCATTCATTATCTCCGGGGTCGTCTCTCACAGCAAGAACCACCTGGCTGAATGTTCCCTGACCTAATCTGCGGAGCATTCGGTACCTGCGGGGCTGCTGTGTTCTCACAGACTTGACACAGTATATAGGAGCGTGAGAGGTCGGTGCCACCAGCGTTGGTACCACATCAGTGTCGCTACTATCATAACTACTACGAGCACTATATGGAGGCGTTGGAGGACAAACAAGCGGGGGCAGCGCTATTCCACGCTGCACAGCCAAATATTCCTCGCGATGCATGTTGGTGCGACCAATTATTTCTTGATGGGATAATGCGCCATTATGTGGTATAGCATTTGGTAGCGAGGATTTGTGGGGTAAAGGGAGATGGGGGGCCTCTTGGGAATCATCACTCAAACTTTGATTGCGACTTTGATCATTCTGTCGGGTACGTTCAGAGGCAGGCTCGAGGTCAGACGGCTGAGATTCACCGCTGCTGGGAGCCAAACCACCGGGAACATGTCGCCGGTTAGATGAGGATCTATGTACCCCTTCCGATGACCCAATCCTGCGGATACTGAATGTAGATCTGCTTCTCGAGGAGGTTGACGATGTCCGGGACGGTGGATGGATCGTTCCGGACCTCCAGGGCGAGCAACCCGGTAGAATGGGCGACGGCAAGGGGGTGATATCGGTCAAGGCAGCTAATTGTGGGGAAGAGATAACAGAGCTGGGAGAAATTGACCCGGCACAGGAGTGCGCCGCTGCAAGAGCGTTTCGAATACTTGGTGCCCGGCGGGGTAAACTGGTAGTCGATGTACTAGCACGAAGGGATATACTAGGCTCATGAGAGATGTCGGATGAGGGCACAACGGAGGGACATATCGTTGGCAGGTCGGTACATATTTGAAGAGAAGGCGTGCGTGGTATTGGGGTTAGGTCACGGTTTTGCGACGAGTGTAGGGCATCTATCGGAGGAGAGGTAGTAGAGGTATAGTTTCTTCCCATGTTGGAACGGTCTTGCTCTGGACAAGCAGAACCTTCATCTTCCGGTGTGGGGGTATAACTGGGCCGTTGCGATCCGGTGGAATCTAAGGGGTTGGAAGACGGCGTGCTCGTAGCAGCATAACGCGGAGGCATGCGTCCATCCGGGGGAAGATGGGAGTCCGCGGGGAAGAGGGTACGTGGAGGGAGCTCATTCTGGCAATATGGCAGCTCTATCACCGGAATTACTGGTAACGGTGGGAGACGATGCATCGCCCCACACCCTGTAAGGCTGTTAAGCTCTGTATGGGCGAGGTGGCGGAGATAGCGCTAGCCAAGCGTTAAGGCGAAGATCTCGCGGCTGCTGGTAGTTCGGGCACGAAATGCCCCCTGGACAATAGCAAGGAGCAGCACAAGGGCGTTAGCAGTGGGCAGTATATCAATATACCTTAACACTAAGATATGTCGAATGTGTCCGCATATATAGAAAGTTAAGCGAGGGCGGAGAGTTGAAACCGCGGGCGGAAATTGCACCAGAAATTTAGACGTTGAGCAGGCGGGGACAGAGGGCAGAACGCCCGTCCCCGATTTGGCAGAAGGAGCCTCAATTGGGGCGTTCAGCTGATTATGGAGGGTGACAACCAATCACAAAACGTCAATACTGCATTGATGGTGGGGAGAATTTTGGTAGGTTCAGATAAGGTTTTCGACCCTAAGCCCTTTCTGGCGTGCGTGTTTAGATAACCGTAACTAGTTAGTTAACTAGTTGATTAGTCCTCTTAATTGTGGCGCTGGCTTATGACATCATCAGGCAGATTGTTTTGATCTATATATAGACACCACTGGGACAACAAACAAAAAACTGATGTGAATTTTGGATTTTATTACGATTAGTTAGTTAGTTAGTTACAGTTACTTATCACTGCGGTTCTGGGTCCGCCCTTCCAATGAAACCTCCCAACAAATGTATATAACTATCATCCGTACGGAGAAATCCGTACAGAGAAATATTTTTAAAGTACACAGTTCAGCACAATATGCACAATTAAATGCCTTTGCCTTGCCAAACACCAAGAGTACGGCAGTTTAAGTTTGATAATTCTCGTAATACTTTTCCCATCCTTTAACTTTCCCGTCCTCAAAGTCGTCCCATTAAAATCAGAGGGAAACGGGATTACTCAGGCGCCGTATCAGCACATTGTCTCCCCTGTCGGTGTAGTCGTCCAACTTACCATCCCACGTGCAATATTTGAGTTTGGTCGCCACGTCGAGGTCAGCAGGTCTTTCCTTTTCCGTCTTCTTGGCTTCAAGGGTTGTTTCCTATATAGGCCTTGTTGTTAAAGCTCTTTCCCCTGTGGTTGCCACCGGCACCAAAGACCAAATATTAATTGTTAGCCACACTTACATGACAAACAACCGCCATTTTCGTTTGTTTTGATTCCCCTCCTAGAAGCGCCTGCATGAGTTCCCCAAAATCAGCCTCATCACAGAGAGCTTTCCAACCCTCTAAGTTCTTCAAGTTTGCATCATCATCATTAATCCGCCGCTCAGCTATCTTGTAGGCCCAGACTTTCTGGTAACATCCCCGCTTCTTGACAAGGGCTTGGGATCCACTTCTAGCCAGGGATGCTCCCTGAGAATCTACCACATTTGCAGGTAAACTATCATCCGAAGGCAATGCTGCAAGGTTCAAATGCATCACGAGGCCATGGCGCAGCATTGCGCACTCAAAGTCTTCTAGCTGGCAAGACCTAGGAAGGTATATATCAAATGCCATCCATTCGCCTGGTAGAAGATCAGACATAACACGAAATTGTAATCTAGTTGACGGAACACATTTCCCTGTCGCTTCGTCCAACCTGGTCAACTTCTTGTATGCATCCGTCGCTCGCCCGGTGCTGAGAGACGCGATCTCCTCCGCGGATACCCCCGTCTTCAAAAGCCGTTGATCGATTACTTGAACGGCCTCTGGAATAAGTTTTATATGTTTCTTGATCATATTTTTCACGTGTTCTTCATGCGCCTTCCTATCTACAACTTCTCGAAATCCTTCGTTGATTCCTGTGCTCATACGAGAACTCAGCTGTAGCTCGTCATCATCCCCCCCTATGTTGATCATCGACATACACATGTCGCGTGGCCCCAAATGAGAAGAAGTTCCAAAAATACCATCTGGATTTCTTTCTGCAGACCAGCCAACGTGCCCCTCATAGTTCCCCTTGTGCCAAAGCCAGTTTATCATATCATCAACTGTTGCCACCCACTTTTCATTTTCCCCAATAGTAGACTCCATTTTGCCTCCTGTAGGTTAGATGAAGGTACCTTTCCTCTGCAGCCTGCAAGGGTAAACTCGATCTCTGCCAACACGTAATTCGCACAGAGCTCTAATGACAGGGAGCCCCCCCTGGAAAGAATTGGATAGGTAGAAGTGTCCAAAAAGAGCAATAAACAACAAGGGGGTTCACAATTTCACGAATGGTGAATGATATGGACACCTTCTCATGTTGGTAATCGCGACGATCTTCTGTTGTTGTTAGGTTGAAACATATTAAGGATATATCAGAGTATCCTGGGTACTAGTTCTAGCTGTTTGTCCGGCAACCAAGGCGTTGACATTGTACCTACAAACACCTGTTTCAACAAAGAGAGCTGAAAACTTGGATTTTAACTTACTCCGCAAAATATTCTCGTGCTTGCGTAAGTTGACATGCTGTGAGAGAGCATCGGACTTCCACAAACACGGCGAAATTCCTCATGAGGTTGGTGGTGATTTCCTGGACAACTACATACCCATAGTTTATAGGTACTTTGCCCAATGGATACATGGGCGAAATCAATGATTGGTATGCGAGGGGAGAACATGTGGAAGAAAACTTTCAGAACAAAGAATATGATTTAGTTGAAACTAAGGAAATGATAACGAGCTAAAAATCGAAGAACAGGAACATTCCATGAACCGATGGTCGACATGGAAAAATGAGTAGAGGAAAGCAAGAGAAAATTAGCGAACAAAAACACCCACCAGAACCCTCTATAGGTGCAGTACATACAAATAAACACAAACCCCGTATCATGCAAAGATCTCCATCCGAGGAGATCATGGTCAAAAAAGACGCTTCACACACACACACACACACACACACCGGAGTTAGAAAGAGAGGGGGTTGGAAACATCATGTCCAAATGTTTTAATACATTGCCATGGAAAAATAAAAAAGCGAATCTCAGAATATAAGGGTGGCATTTTCCTTTAAAGATCAGGAACGTAAACGACGCTGCCCGAAGCAGAGCAAGGTGCCAACTTGGGGAAATTTTGGAGCCCCCTTGCGAATAGAAAACGAAATGACATCGCGACTATGAAAAGAATGCCCGTCTTGTAACCTAATGGATAGGGGGAAATAAGTGTCAGCAACCACCAATTCTGGTAACTGGAGATGGGGAAATCAACATACAGCCCAAGCACCAGCGATGCTGGCCACAATTCCGCCAGATATCATCATAGGGCGTAGGCCTCGAGTACTTTTGAACAGCATGCCACTCATAGCACCCGCCAATATACTATTTGCCGCATCATGCTTGCCTCTGAAATGCCCCAGAGTCGAATTAATCCCATTGTATACCATCGCAATCACACCTGCGGAGTTGCCCAGAAACGGGCCTCTTCGGGTAATCGAGTTGAGAACACCATTCAGTCGAAGTTTCGGCGGCGCTGTGACTGGGGTCTTCTTGAGTCCTTCAACCAGACCCCAGAGGCCCCCCAGTGACAGAGCCGTTAGATACGTAGTTCCCGTTCCGTAACTAAGGTCGTCTGACCATCCCCTTGACGGAAGTGCGGAACGAGAACCGGGAAGATCGTCGAGAGCAGAGTCTTCGAGGGAAAGGTAATCTAGCGTGTTTTGGTTCAAACCAGCGAGCGGGTGTAATAGCGATGGGTCCGGCATCGCGGGGCCTGAGAGGAATGAGGAGGCATCTTGGGCAGAGCTAGGGTCGAAGTGGGCAGGGGCGGGAGGATGTGAGGTCTTCCGACCAGAGAGGGTATCCCAAATAGACATGGCGTAGGACCACTACAGTATAATATACAGGGAGGAAATATAGAAACGGAAAAACAAAAGAAACCCGTGGGCGCCAGCTACGCTCCTAGCTCTGTTGTCGTTCCCCAGGAGCAACTTGCATTGATACAAAGGCGTTGAGTTCGGTTTCTCCGTTCTGCGTTGGTGTCTTCTTGAAATAGAAAAGTTCGACACACTATGTAGGATTGGATTGGATGGTTTGTCCTTTGCGCGGTTAGGCCTACGCTTTGGCTCCATATAAATTTTTCGTCGGCGATCGGAAAAACAAGGGCGGGGCACTAGACCGCTTCGGGAGATCCTAGGTAGCTTAGTCATTCATCAACATCTCGCCAAACTGCGCAAAAAAAAAAAAAAAAAAAAAAAAAAAAGGGGAGAAAGCATTAACTAACGTTGTATAGACTGGCTACAATCAAAATGTACTGTCTGAGGCGGGGTTAGTTGAGTAGAATTTTTTTTTTTTTTTTTTTTTTTTTGCCTCTTTATTTGCCAGTTTGGCGACCTCACTTATGGGCAAAATTATGGATTGCCAGGAGTCGGAACCTGGTGTCACTGCCCATGATCAACACACTCAGCTACCTTCAGCGCTTCAGGAACTCATTGCCTCAGACTTGGAAATTATTCCTGGAAATGTGCTAAACAGGGTAACCAGGGGTCCGCTAAGGGACTTCATACTGAAAGCGGATCACCCTTTGTAAGCTAGTTATTTCCCTCAACGCTCTTGATACATCGTCTGGATTAACGCCGGTGCAGATTGATCATTCCCCCCTGGAAATGTCTCTTCAGAACATTCTCCAGCACCAACTTACCATCGTCTCATATGGTGGCTAGCTGTAATGCAGTCAGTGCATTTCTTGACGCAACAACGCTCTCTGCCAATAAACTCATCCGCGAGTTTGCTCTCTCTGGTTCCCAGCCTCCATGGATCGCCGCCTTTGAAGTTCTTCTTGACCGTTATGAACGCAAGCCGAAACCAATGAGACAGGTCCTAACCTCGTTGATTAGAATCATTTTGAGGCATCGTGGTGAGGATTCAGTCGTCCACTTAATTCGTTCAAGAATAGTCCAGTTGATATTACCCAACATTGTATCATGTGAACCCAGGTCAAGGCTCAAGGCATGTTTGGTTTCCTTAGAGTGGCTTATCCGAAAAGAAGCACTTCCTGTGCTTGATTTGATCCAGAAGATGAATACATGGATGCTAGATAACCCCATGGCTTGGATATCGCGACTGGAAGGGCATTGCATCAAACTAGGAGTTCCTATGAGCTGTTTTATTGATGTAGAAGCCAGAAAGAGTATTGGAGAAAACGAACTGCTCTTATACGGCACTCAAATTTTTACCATTTCTCTTCTCCTTAATTCTAATAACAGGGACTTGGCCCTTCCAGCTGGGACTTTATTTACTTTGTTGTGCCATACATTGGACATCGCTTCTGGGGATAACAGTTTCTTGTACATTAGTCCGAGGACCTCATGCCCTTTTTGGCAAGCCCCGCTCAGATACATCGCCTTGCAGAATAGAGGTGATTTAGACGCCGTATCGGATCATTTCCTATATCCTTTGTTTAAAGTTATGCCATCTGGATTTCAATCATTCATTCGCACTCTACCATTCTACGACCTGCAACCCGGCTCCAGTGAGGCCTCACCGGATGAACTTATTGTACTCTTTGCTGCGCTCCAAATAGGCAAAGAGCTCGGACTTGTACAAGAAGACAGTGAGTCGCAAGCCCAATTTGGCCTTTTTTTTTTTTTTTTTTTAATTCGGAATTAACCAGATTTAGGATTTGAGATACATTTAACTGCATGCGAACCATATATCATGGATAGCAGTCGAATTGGCGACTTTTTAATACACCCTGAACCTGCGATACGCCTCTCGGCTCTATCTCTGTTGATAACAGCACCTTCTACTAGGAAACCATTCTCCTCAGTCACGCTCAAAGTATTGACGAAAAATTTCCCTTATATACACACAGACAGCGACCCACAATATAGGGGAGAAGTGTATAGCTTAATTCGGAAACTTATCATTAGATTATGCGGCGGCCTATCTGGTAGCCGCAAAACGACTGGCTCTGAGGATGGTCCGCATGCTGTCAACGATCGTACCACGGAAGAAGATCCACTGAGAACGAAGCACGCTAATGCGGCTATATCTCATGTGCAATTTTTGCAGTGGTATGTGGATTTTCTCGAGCTAGAACTCCAACCAACAATGTCATACCAAAGACATATATCGGCTCTCAAAACGTTGGCATTGATTCTGCAATCGGGTCTGGATAAGAGGATTGATTCTGTTTACCTTTCACGACTCGGCCAGGATCAGACTTTGTGGAACTGCAATATCGAAATATTTCGACCAAGTCTTTTCAGAGTCATTGGCGACTTGCTTATAAATCCATATGACGACGTCCGATCTTCAGCTCTGATTCTTCTAAATATGTTCCCCCGAACACATATCCAAACATGTCCTACAAATGACGAGGAGGAATGCTTCTTGGGCGGGAAATATTCTCATTCCCGTCGTCAACTAGTTAAAGCTTTGCAAAGGGCTGAGAATGTGGCAAGCCGCACAAGCAGAGCTGATCACGCTGATGCCGTAGCCCGTTTGTATCATATTTTATTCGACCTTGCTGATTTCAACAAATTCTCAGACACAGTGAAAACGTGGTATGAACATAAACAAGGTATTGTGGAAATGCTCCTTACTACTTTAGAGAAACATATATATTCAAACGATGGTTTGTTCCAACACGCGATCCGGGAGACTTCTTTACATGGCTACATCTCCGCATTAAGGTATTCATTCAACCAATAACGCTTCTTGGAGAGTTTGGAAATCGGTAAAAAGTTTTGCTAATTGCGACGAGAAGGTATATTGTGTCAACTCCGAGATTCTATGCATGCTTTCCCTCAACGACAAGTGTGGTGGTCCCTTTTTGGAGAGAATGCCACGATCGACTTGTCTTGCTCTGTGAAAAGATCTGGCTTGGAGTCCGAACTATCCTCTGTATAGACTCTCCTGAAGGGCAGGATGAGGATGCAGCAGACGAGCTTAAAGGTCCGAAGGATTTGTTGTCATGCTCTTGGCGTGCCTTGCGAGAATCAAGGTAACATCTGCAAATCTGTTTCCAAGCAAAAACTGTGCTAATAAGATCTGTACAGCATGCTCCTTCACGCCATATTACTCAATTCAACCTACGCGCCCGAATCTGATGGTACTGGGCTCGTCCAAGCCGACTTTAATAAAATTGGAACTCTAAGCTTTAGGCAACTTGCGGAGTTGCGGCACAGAGGCGCTTTTTCTGCAGTGTCTCAGACTTTCACAGCTTGCTGCCAAAGATGTGGCCAGTCGAAGGATCTGGGAATATCTAATCTGCTAGATATGTGGTACAAGGTAATTGAATATTCCGTCTCAATTGGAAATATATATTAACACTAGCAGGATGCATTGAAAATTATAGACCAGCAGGCATCGAAATTGACTCGCCGATCCGCTGGACTCCCTGCTCTGATTACAGGGTTAGCCACATCACAACCCGATAGCCCCCTCTTTCGTCAAATCATGCGTGACATACAGGAAATTGCCAGCTTAGGCACACCCACTAGTGTTAGTGGGTCTGAGTTGAAGTTGCCTCAGGTTCACGCCTTAAATTGTTTGAAGGATATCTTCACCAATACCAAACTTGGTCCGTCCACAGAATCATATGTGATGCCATGTCTAATGATATCTGCTGAGTGTTTGGGTTCTAAAATGTGGGGATTTTTTCTTTTCTTTTCTTTTCTTTTCTTTTTTTTCTTTCTTTTTTTTTTTTTTAATCTTGAAATTTTTTTCAAGTTCAGCTAACACATGAAAACAGATGGGCAATTCGCAACTGCGGACTGATGCTATTCAAAGCTTTAATGAATCGTATGTGTCGCTTCAAGGCAGGATACAGTGCAGGTCTAGGTGGAAGTTCCGGGTCGGAACTCGGAAGTAGGATCGTTTTCCAAAAATATCCTGGTCTAGTTGAGCTCCTAGCCCAGCTTCTTCAAGACCCCATTCCAAACGAAAAGCTGGACAATTCAAATGGCCAGTCCTGGGGAATTTCTATAACGACAGAGCGAGTGTTTCCTGCCTTGGAGCTAATTGGAGAGAAGGTGCCCTCTTTCTCAGGGGAGGAAGAAAAGGTTCTAAGAGACCTTGTCTACGAGCAGTTTCGAAGCCCTGTATGGGGTATCCGGGAGCACTCAGCCAGAATATATGCGTCTCTACTAAGACATGATGAGATCCTGCCAACTGTTTGTGAGCTTTCAACTGTCCCTCATTCACCTGTCTCACAAAACTACATTCACGGAACGGTATTATGCATTAGATACTCCTTGCAAAGGCTCTGGGTTTCCTCAAGCCGATATTGGCTAGGTGAGCTCTGTCATTATTCTCTAATCGTATGGTTGCTTATTCTTTCCAGATGACTCCGGGACTGCTCTTCTTAGTGTCAAGGAAGTATGGCGAAATCTTATCGCCCACGCAAGATCTCCATTCGTACTGGCTGCATTAGTTGAGGTCCTTAATGATGTCTTGGAAGCTAGTATCCGCTGTGGACTAGAAGGTACATACCAATTCTGTTCTCTTGGGCCATTTAATTAAATTAACAAGAGGAATTGTAGGTCTTGTACTCCAAATCAGTTCTCTACTCGAGGAACATGGTGTCTTCGATATGCTAGCCAACCTCCTTTCCCAAGCTAAGGCCAAAAATTTCATATCCAAGGGTTCATTTATACTCCTTCGAGCGATTTCTATTTCTAAAACCACAATTTCGCTAGCACAGAATTCGGCATTGGAAAGTTTATTGAGATTTTTAAATTCTCTATCGTCAATTGACGTTGACACAACCTGTTGGCTCCTAACTCACATGCACCACTGTTTTGGGTCACATGAACGGACCAAAGTGCAGAGAATAACGCTCTACACTACTATGATCGAGGACTCGCTTCCCCGGAGAGTACAATCAGTTATCATGAGAAATCTGGCAGACAGTTTGGAGTCACTTCTCGAAACGCATACCTACCTACCTGACGAGTTTTCCTTCCTTCGACAGTGGGCTAGATCTACCGATATTCCAGACAATAGCAATTGCTCCAACATGTGGAATCGCGATATGGTGAATGTTTCATTGCGACTGAAGGGAAGTTTATTTGCACTCCAAATGTTGTCATTCGATGATGCCGAAATTTACTCTGTGGTTGAAATGAAATTGAACAAATGGAATCAAAGCCTACGTTCTGCGATTGCAGACGAAACTGTGAGCTGCTTTTTTTAAACACAACTTTGTCTGAACATGTCCTAATCCACCTCTAGGAATTCACAACCCGACACGCAGCAGTTCTTTCTATGAAAACATTTGTTTTGGGGCTAAAAATAAGTTCCCGACATCGAAAACTTCACCAGTTTTTACTGGACACATACCTTGTTTTGTATGGAATGCTCAATGACGATGACGAAGACATCAGATATATTGCAACTCAGGCGGCAGGTGTCCTCTTTTCACTTGGACCAGAGAGGTCAACCCAAGCAACGGAACTGCTTCCCCTTGCGGCTAGTTTGCGATTGACTGAGGTGATTGCCGAAGATTATGTTGGCTCCACGGCGCTTTGCGTAGAAGCATTGGGCCGATTTCTTGCATTGCCTATCAACATATCAGCAGCCGAAAACAACGGTATTACGGTACCGCCACCTGTTTCCAGGCTTCTTGCTAGTTTCCAGAAGGAGAGCACGGTTCTATTCCAAGAAGAAAAACAGAATTTGTTTATCGAAGATGTGCGAGAAGTTGACGTATGGTCCAAAGTCCTATCCCGATTGATCCCAAGGCAAGAACACACAGCCGTTGCCCTGCTTCTCTATTATTGGGTTGCTGAAGGTCTTTCTACACTGATAGCGACAACTAGAACAGCCGGTATTGACTGTGTGCTAGGCTGGATATCGAATCCAGATGTCTTTACCTTGGGTGTCCGAGTCCTTCGGGGCGCAAAGATACTGCTGCTTGTCCCTTCATCTGGAGCCTTGCCATTGGACAAAACGCTGATCTACAGAAGACTTGAGGATTTGCTGGACCAAGGCCGCAAGGTGGGAATGCATCACTGTTGGATATCACTCCTGAAGACAGCACTTGATCATCAGAGACCTTGTTAAATCTTTACGGCTATACTGTGTTATTGACAGGAGGTTTTGTTGAAAAGGCGTTGAGTCATCTAATTTCAATTAATTCTATTTAAGTACTATTATTTTCATTTTAGAAATTGTCTGCGACATCCCCTTTGATTTTGTCTGTTTTCATTCATCCACAACTCCTTGAACCGCGACCGGACGTCTCTTTGTTGCCTGGCAATATTTCACTATCGACTATTTGTTTTTATTTAATAAATTTCCTGACTCAACCATCTCAAAACAAGTTATAAAAGTACACTTTTAACTTAAACCTTGGTATGTTTTGCCTGTCTGGAGTCTTTTTTCCAATCTTCCGTATATTGCTTGCTAATACACCCTGCAGCATGCATACCTAGCTATCTTTAGTCCCCTTAAGACATCTGTCATTGATTTGTCTCCAACACTCCATATTGCGCAACGATTGTTTGACACCTCGCACGGCATATTATTGCTTCATCCGCATGCCTATCATGCAAAGACTGCCTATTATATTGTAATCTAGGCGCTCCTATAGTGAATATACCGAAACCTCTCTTTATAGCCACAAACTATTGCAGCCCTTAACTAATCACTCATCCCAAGGTAATTCTATCTATCTCCTTCAAGCCATGCAGCTTAACCATGCTATTGTCCTCATCCTCATATTAATTCCCGTTTTCGCCTTCATCATATGGAGAGTCGGCCTCCACCTCTCCTCGGTATTTTACTTCAATATGGAAATGCACAAGGTGATGCGAGAGACGCGACAGGTGGAGGAAGCAGTCGTTGCTCAGGAATCCCAGGTCGCCAATACACCACCGACCAATCCATCTCCTCCTAATCCAGCTCCACCGTCGGCTGTCAATGTAATACCCGGCAATAATGGACGACCGGCCAATGGACAGGTAGCAAATAGGAATCCAGCTAACGGGCAAGCAGCGAATGGGAATGGGAATGGGCAACCGCAAACCAACCCACAGCTGGGCAATGGACACCCAGCAAGCGGGCAAACAAGTGGAGGCCCTGCCACGGGCAATGGCTATAACGGTTAGCACTAGTCAGAGGACTGGTTGAGGTTAAATATTGCGTATTATTTTAATTTTTTGTTTCCCGGGATAGCATTGGGACGGGATGAGGGTGAATATTTAATGTAGAAGGGAGTTGGAGACGACAAAGCAAATAGGACTTATAAACACTCTTGCTTAGAATACAGCGAGCTTGTTTGCTGCGAAGCTATTTGTCTATATTCAAATGGATAAATATAAAGATCATGCTTATGCATTTATACTTCCCCCGTTTGCCTTCAAGGAATCCACATACAGTCATTTACAAACTTGAACTCTGCATCTTGAATATCGGGCTTTAATCCCGTTTGTCGAGAGTTCTCTTTCTTTTGTTTTGTATACATTGCTTTGCATATTATGTGAAGCAATAGCTGGTTTCTTTCTTTCGGGGGAAATTCCCAGTCCAAATACTTTCTTTATTCGTGTATCTCTTCCAAATGCTCTATTTTTAAACGAAGTCATAATTCCAACTTTGTTTATTTGTGAATATCCGCAGGTGTTATTCCCATTACTTGTAAAAAGAATAATATACAGTATTTGTATATGTATTTGTTCTTGCTTTTGGGTGCATTGCCCCCTTTTTTTGCTTCAGGCGATCTGTGGCTTCCAATGTAGCGGGCAATGAGCCTTTGGTATGAGATATGCCAATTGCAGCCCTCATCCAGTTAACTACCTGTATTAATATACAGATCGCTGTCTTCATTTACTCCCAGTTAGTTACGTTCAATCCTCCATTGTTTCTTCTTTTATATGCCGTCAATGACAACATCACGTCCTTTTCCATAATCACTCAACCGCTCTTCGAGGTAGTCCAGCCAACAAACATCACCACTACCTTGGTTGCAGCAAACCCTCCATACCCCCTGGCTCCCCCAAGCCATGGCGACGCTGATTCCCATACCATCCACCACCCCAACTCCGGATACACAACAACAGCAGCAGCAATTTCAACCCAATTCCCAGGGGGGCTGGTATTCCTGGACACCGGAGGAGCAAGGTGGTATTCTAGCTGCGTCGATACTCGTCTTTCTCTTTCTATTCGCACTGACGCTATTTGTGTCCCTTCACGCTCCAAAGAAAGTCCACCGGCCACCAGACGAAGAGCGAGCAATGGGGGAGCCGGGCCAAAGGAGACGGAGTAGGAGGGTTGGAAGGTTGAGGAGGAGAAGCGCCGGAATCTCACAGCCAGTCACTCAACTACAACAAAACCAAAGTATATTTCCACAGGCTGTGAAAGATAGCCGTAGTCACGAAACTACAAAAAATGGACGAATCTCAGACTATCAAGGGCGAGAAGTGTTTGACGCACTCCGAATCGCAAGGCGGGGATCAATGACAAGATCCCACCGCGAAAACGGTCCAAAATTAAGAACTGCACAGCGCTCACGGTCATGTCAATGTAGACGAGATTTTGGTCTGTTGGAGGGGGAAACTGGACCCCGTGGTCAACAGTCACGCCAGACCGGAGGGATAGGACATCGCAACAGTATGATTGCCTGTGATGGAAGTGATGAGACATTTGAGAGAGGGTTGGACAGTATTTATATTGACGACGATAACCCAGGACCATCAACGCTGAAAGGAAAGGAGAAAGCGAGATTTCATAGACATCAACAGAGGGATGGGTGTGCCCAGGAGGGAAAGCCTCGTCGCCACAAACGTTCATTCAGTCTGAATTGAGCAGGTAATGGAAAGATGAGGACGGAAATGTTGTAGGGATCTCCCAATTTGACTGCACGGAGATGATGTAACATTTTTATGTATATACATATACCGAATATCTCTTGTCTTATACATTTCTATCGTGGGAGCTATTACTCCCTACCCCAAATTTGGGATCTTAATGATATAGAATCAAACATTGCTATAATCATTATTTGTGATAGGTAGATATCTAGATATCCCAGCTGCCACGAGGAAGCACGCTGCAGTGTTTAGCGGTAGCCTGTCCTATAGTGACATATAGGCTCCTCTACCTCCCATGGACAGTTTAATACAGCCCAGGAGAAAATGAACAAAATCCTTTCTCAGATGTCTCAACAGCAGGATAACAGTTCTGCAAATATTTGAACGCCCGTAATTGGCATGAGGAGGAGTTGCGTGGAAATCAAGCTGAAACATACAGATATGAGTATGTTGTTTGCCAGCGGGAATGTAAAACAAAAGCCTCTGGGCAAATGAAAACATCAGATAGTTTGCTGAAAATAAATACAAGCAAACTTAGATATCATCACCATTGCTGACACTCCATGTTCTCTCATATAAGGTTCATTATATAGATAGAAAAATGCAGCACCCTGCATAGCCCAAACCATGGAGGAATTTCCCTCAGTGCCTCAACCAGAAGCATCGACAGCTATTGTCGGGCAAGATAAACACGGAAGAGAGGAGAATCTGGAGCAGAATATATATGGAGAGGGGAATGTGTATCAAGCATGTCCTCAGCCGGACGCATTGCAAGATAATAGCCCCCAAATCAAGCAAGGGGCCTCTCGCCCCAAACCTACTATCGAAACCGCATCCAGCAATTACAGTATGAATTCTCTCATTTCCAGAACGAACCGCACTGAGATTTGAGAAAAATGGCCATTTGCGTATATTTCATAACTCAGATACCCAAGAAGATATGGGTCAGCCCGAGACCCGAGTGATATAGAGCATCGTCAAGAGCAGCAGCAGCAGCGCGCAAGATAAGTACTGGTAGGCAGTTGTTTCGAGTTTGACGAAAGAGCAATTGAGACGTGAAATCCGTCAATGTTCATATGCAGGTCAGAAAAAACACACGAACATAAGGACTAGGGAATCCGAATATTATTCTGCGCCATCGGATGTCAGGATCGAGCTCGTTCGGTCACACCGGAGGGAAGAAGCCGAGCTTAGCGAATGGTTGAGGCCAGAAAGATCCCTCTCCATGCGCGATCCGAAGCCAGGAAGAACAGTAGCTGGAGGGAATGTATGTGTGCATTGCCAAAATGGTCTATACTTCGATGGCCTCGGGGTTTCCATATGAGGTGATCAACAGTTAACTACTAATTAGTGAGACATATAATTGTGCAGCCAATATAGCAGACCGGGCACCAGGCAATACCCATCCATGTTAGATATCTTGACAGTAGTGGGATTGCAGCTAGTGGTACATTCTTCAGATTCGGGATTTGGAGATGATAGATGTTAGTTAATAATTAATTGATATTATTTTTCGTTGTATATGGAAGAGTGTTTGGAGTTTGCAAAGAAATCGAAGTTAATGGTTAGGCTGTTGGAATGTTTAAATCTATGGTGACGTTGTCCGTCGCAGCCAAGCTCAGATCACCCAAGTTGAGTGGTTTTGTCTTCCTCTCATTAACCAACCACAACTTCACACTCTCCCATCCACTATCCGCTACCTCTAACGTTAACACAGCCATACACATACACATACACATCCGTGTTCGATCTTCCTTCTATTCCGTCACCGTCTGGTGTGCAATCCAACCGTTCATACTCACTGGGCCTGTTCTCTCCGCCGGAGTCTCTTCTCGGCCTCCCCGGGCAGCATGTGGAACGACGAAGACAACAACCCCTATGGGTCCTTTGATCGTCACTCGGAAGCCGTTAATGATCATTTCCATGGCTCACCTGGATCTACCAGTGAGATATGGCTTCATATCCCCGTCCTTGTATATCGCTCCAACTAACCCAATCCATCCTTCAGCCTTCGACCCACCCTCCACCCCTCAGTCTTCAGCCTCAACTTTAGATCACCCCCCAGATTATGTATCGCGGTTAGATAGCCCTAGCCCCGATGTTGCAGACCCAGACGAGGGGAGGAGATATGCGCATTCCGAACAAAGTCAAGGATACCCTCGAAACAAAGGGGTCTATCAAAGCCGAATAGAACAGATACTCTACGAGAATCCAGAGCTTCCAATTCTCATTACGGATGCGGGTAAAAACCACGAGAGCGGAGGCAGCTTCATTGTGTATACTATACGGACAGGGGTATGTGCGCCTAAAAGGGGGAAATAATGCTGGTATCTTATGTCATTGCTTGCCTAAAGGCTGACTTTCCTGCAGGATCTGGAAGTTCGACGTCGATACTCTGAATTTAGTTCCCTCCGCGCCACCCTCATTAATCTTCATCCTACCCTCATCATACCTCCAATTCCCGAGAAACATACAATGGCAGATTATGCGGCGAAACCCACCAAGGCTAAGGAGGATACCTCCATCATTGATTTGCGAAAACGCATGTTGGCTGTCTTCCTTAACCGATGTCGGAGGATGAAGGAGATTCGGGAGGATGGAGTGTGGTGGAGGTTTCTGGATCCAAATGCAAGTTGGGTTAGTGAGCTCATCAAATCATCAAGTCAGATTATACCCTGTGGACCAAGGTACCTAACTTCCTGCAGAACGAAGTGCTTCATTCGCACCCCGCCTCCTCTGTTCCCAAGAACAATCTGAAAGCGCCTCCGCTTGACCCAGCAAACCCGCAACCTGCGCATGCCTGGCTTCCAGTTCCGTCGTCTTCTGCCAAATTGAAGTTTTCTGTCGTCATGTCTCCACCTTCTTTAGATAATGTTACGTCCTCAGGTCCAGGGAACGGGTCCTTCCTAAGCCGATTCCCTCCAACATCCCGCAATCTAAGTGAAGAAGATCTAGATCCATACTTTGTGAATTTCGAGGTGTCAACCCGTGAGCTTGAACTGCTCTTGCAAGGAAATATTGAAAAGGTCAACCGGCGCACCTTGACGCATCTTTCGTCACTTTCGGCTGATCTAATGGAACTTGGGGCTCGATACAATGGATTCTCACTCTCCGAGCCTTCCGCAACTGTTGCTGCTGCTATCGAACGAATTGGTCAGGCTGCGGACACCTCTTATATTGAGACGGAGGAACTATCTGCAACCCTTGGCGCGACATTTGCGGAACCAATGAGGGAGAGCGCACAATTTGCCGGCGTCGTCCGTAACGTTTTGCGCTACCGGATCTTAAAACGAATCCAACAAGAAATGACGCGGGACGAGCTCAGTAAGAAAAGAGCATTACTGGATTCTCTAGAACGAAGCGAGCTGGAGGCCAAACGGATCGAGCAGTATCTTAACCGCACAGGTAGTAGCACTACACCCGCAACATTTAAAAGATCATTATCGGACTCCTCTGCACCCAGCACCCCTGAATCGGGACCTGCTGAAGGAGCTCGAGCGAGTCCAGCGGAAGATACCGCCTCCATCGACTCAGATTTCCCATCAGGGGGAGGAGACTCTCCACATCCATCTGCATCGCAGGGCCTACCTCAGAGGACAGCGGAACCTCCCACAGCAACACCGCCAAGTCACCGTAAAACCTCGAGCGGCAATTTCGTGACAAATAAGATATTTGGGCGAATTAGCCATGCGGTACATGGGTTTGTTGATGTTGACCCGGAGAGGACACGGCGAGATCAGATTGGGAAGACAAAGGAGATCTTATTGCAGGTTGGTTTTTTGATACCCTTTACCTCTCCCTCCAAACCGTAATTATTATTGTTCATCAAGAAGTGGACGGAAGGAATCCTAATTCGGTTGACCACGCTTATTATCTGCAGTTGGAGCAAGCACTCGAAGTATCCGAGAAAGACGTGAAGGATGCCAGTTCCGGGGTCTTGCAAGATCTAAAGCGATTCCAGAAGGAAAAGGAAAACGATCTGCGGCGGTACATGGTATGTACCCCTCAAGCCATCCCCCCTTTCTATCTTGGATTGATTCATCAAATTTTCAATATGGCTTTTTGTTCCACTGCTTATTTGTTTTATATTTTTTTAATTTTTTTTGGCGCCGCCGCCACTCAGGTATCATACGCCCGCTGCCACCTTGACTGGGCGCGCAAGAACCTTGAGACATGGACTGAGGCGAGGGAAGAAGTGGACAAGATAGTAATCCACTGAATAGTGATTCCTCCTCCTCCACCGAACCATATATATTAATTTGATTCAAAGTCTGAATGACTGGGAATTCATTATAGGTATGAAAAATGGATGACATTGTAGCTTTGCATTGAAGGTCCTCCTTTTGTTTAACTATTTGTTTATCTTTATTTTTATCTTTTTTCCATTATGTTTTGAGCTTCGTCTTTGTATGTGGCAAAATAATCACGGTGGTTCCCGGTCAGCTTTAAACTCTGGCGGTTTCCCTTCCATCTCTGCTTGTTAATTGACTGTATCTAATACTATTTGGTATAGTTTTAGATTCCTTGGCCAGTCAGAATAGGATGTCTGTAACCATTGAAGGTTTCTTTACCATCACCATGCCTGCCAGAGTTTTTGTACGGGATGGTGGAGAGAAGCAAGGATTCTATTTACAGTTGTTAGTGCCGGGAGTACAAAAGGGAAGATAAGACAGTTACCATCACGACCCTTTTTAAATATATATAATACTGTCTATTTGGAGTGTTTTTACGGCTGGGACAGTAGATACGGATGTTTCCAGTGATAGGTAGTTTAACCAACTAACAAAACTGTGTACCTGAAGACACGCTTCCTCCATTTGTATGAACATCCACGATCAACAGAAGAGAATACCTACCTGGGTAGAGAGATCATACAACTCAGTCAGCACAGCAAGAAGATTGCCTGATAATTAAGCCTGACTACAGAGCGTGACCTTTAAAATCAACAGACGGTTAGTTACATTCCTCAGCACTGTCTGTAGTAATATCTACCATTTTTCAACAACATTTAACCTAACTTAACACACACCGGTTGTGTTTCGTCCCCCGCCCAACTTTCTCATTCACCAACCACCAAAAAAACTTCTACCGCTGAACTACCAACCGCCCACCCAACCGCCCGACCTATTTACCCCTTCATACTTACCGGCCCTTCCACCCATTACAAACCTCAACAACCTCGTCTCTTTTTAATATGCCAAAATCTACGCCTCGCCCAACCTGATCTTCGCCTTGTTAAGACCCACCTCTGGACCTCTGGCGACCTTTACTCCCATATCCCATCCTCTCCCTCCCTCTCGCTCCTTTCCCTTCCTCCCGCCGCGCCCTTCTTCCCTCTCTGCCTCTCTCCCCTTATCCTGGACGTACATACATCCTTGTGCTCTAGACAACCCCCACCCCCCCCTCTTGCACCACAGAGCTGCCACAGCCCGTGGTCAGCTCACTTTCACCACGCCTTCTTCAAAGAGACGCAAGGTTGCAGAGTGCAAAGTTGGAGCCCGTGGCCGCCCTGCCCGTTCTTTGCCCCAAACGAACAATTTTTCCAGCCCTCGTTCCTCCTCCAGGCTACGGCGGCGTACCAGTAGCAGCCATCTTAGCGGATCTGCCTCTGCCTTGCCTACAACAGCAACCATAGCAACCACAACGCCCATAGCATCATCACCAACGTCACCATCAACGTCGATATCGGCATTGACATCGACACCGTTCCCTACGAGTCTCATTTCCTCAACTGACGCAAGCAACGCCTCTACCACGCTCCCTTCCAACACAACTGCTTCGTCTGGTCCAGCATATATCCCTGCCCACATACAACGCGAACTCCGTCGGAAAAAACATTGCACGAGGACTCCGAAAAAAATTCGATCTGCCACCCCAGGCTCTCCAGATACAGCTGCCAGCTCTCCCAGTGCTGCCTACGCCGAACTCAGCTTGAATACAGAGCCCTCTGCTGCTGCTTCTGCTCCTGCTGCTGCTGCTGTCATGGCTGCATCTGAAGACATGTCGGGCTCGTCTCCTCATCCTCATGGAGCGGATGATGTCTCTGAGAATGGTCGACAAGAATTGCAGTCTGCCCCCGCCGTAAAGCGGCCTGCTGCTGAAATGGGTGAGGACGACCGCCAACCTCAAGATGTCGAAATGGGGGCCGCTCCGTCTGGTGGCAATGAGGAGAAGGAAGTCTTGTCATCCTACAACCCTGTTCCTAAGAGCAAGAAGCAGACGGATCGACCAACGAGGCATCGTAGAGCTGTATCTGTGGATATGGAAGGACAGGATGATGATTCCATGGAGGTAAAACATGAGAACCCAAAGTCTGCTTCTTCCGAAGACACAGTTAGCTCGTCTTCGGATAGCGTCTATCCCACACCATCCAGCATGTCGACATATACCTCATCCACACGCGAAGATTACAAACCATCCCATACTCAGCCTCGTGCCAGTCATGACATGCCGTCAATCGACGACCAGGTCGCCATTGTAACCAAACTGCTGCTGCAACCGCTGAAGGAGAACCAGAAGGGATATGTGGTTTCTGCGAACTGGCTAGGCCGTGTCCTTTCGAGGAGTTCCAAAGGAGGCTTACCACGGGAGAAAATCGATAAAACTGCTTCAGAAGGAGAAATTGGTCCTGTCGACAACTCAGATCTTGTTTTGGTTACGGATCCTTCCCTCTCATACAAAGATGAGGCTGGCGAGCTATTCGTTCCCTTACGACCTGGCTTGCAGATCGGAGAGGACTTCGAAGTGCTACCAGAAGACGCCTGGGAAATGATCATGAAATGGTACGGCCTCTCAAGAGACTCTCCTGCCATTGTTCGATTCGCTCATGACACCGCCACGGGAACTACGGAAAATGTCCAGTATGAGCTTAACCCTCCAATTTTTACCATTTTGAAATTACCAAACCCTTCCCAATCCCAGGCTCAGATCGCCCAGGACAAAGCTCGTGCTCCTGTAAAAACTCTGGCTAGCAGACACACACCGTTTCAGCAGTGGTTACGGAACGTGAAAAGCTTGGCATCTATCGAAATGTCTACAAAAGTCCGTGTCTGGAGAATTCTCGAAGGGCTGAACAGCACCGCAACGTCTGGTATCATCACCCCTGCGGCATCCAGAAGCACCTCCCCTGCCCCTGGCGCCACATTGACCGCCAACGCTGGCAACAGCCTTGTGCTGGACGTGAACAAATTCGTTGCTCTTGTCGAAGGCTCTCAGCGTGAACTACTTGAAATGAAGGACCAAACAGCCAATCTAAAATATAACGGCAGCCTTACATTGCACCTTGCCGGCCTGGGAGGCGACGATGTCATTGTGCTAGAAGAACAAGTTGGTGGTCCTGGTGGCGGAGAGTGGGTTGCTGATTGCGCTGGCAAAAACGCAAATCATCTTTCTGTTACTGCAATCAAGGCCGGCTCCCAAAACAAGGCTAAGGCCAAAGCTCCCGCTACCAGCGGTCGAGCCTCATCACCTGCTGTTGGGCCCGTTACTAGGGGACGGCAGCGTAAAGACGGCCGCTCTCGTGGCGTCACTGGCTTGAGCAATCTTGGAAATAGTTGCTATATGAACTCCGCTTTACAGTGTGTTCGGAGTGTAGAAGAATTGACTCAATATTTCCTCCGTAAGTATTGTACCACCTTCGAAATTCCTATATTTACTTTTTTTTTTTTTTCTTATCTAATGGCTTTCCCTTTTCATAATAGAGGATGAATACAGGAAGGACCTTAATCCAGGCAATCCACTTTCTCATGATGGGAATGTTGCTAAGGCTTATGCAAATCTGTTGCATCAACTGTTTGATGAAAATGGAACCTCCTCTTTTGCTCCCCGTCAATTTAAGCAAACGATCGGAAGATATGGTCCTTCGTTCTCTGGATATGGCCAGCAAGATTCTCAGGAGTTTGTGCTTTTCCTTCTGGACGGGTTGCAGGAGGATTTGAATAGGATTCAAAAGAAGCCGTATATCGAAAAACCAGATTCTACTGATGATATGGTTAACGACAATGCTGCACTGCAACAATTTGCTAGCAAATGCTGGGATATCTACAAGGCACGGAATGACTCGGTAATTACTGACCTTTTCGCAGGAATGTACAAGTCCACTGTGGTCTGTCCCGTTTGTGATAAAGTTAGCATAATTTTCGATCCATTTAGCAATCTCACCTTGCAACTCCCGATTGAAAACCTTTGGAGCAAAGAATTGTTTTTCTTCCCTCTTTATTCCCGCCCCGTTCGATTGGATGTTGACATCGACAAAAACTCCAGTGTCAAGGCTTTGAAAGAATATGTGGGGGAAAAAGTTAACGTCGATACCAGCAGACTTGTTATGGCTGAGATCTACAAACAAAAGTTCTATAAAATGTTTGATAATACATCAAGCATTGCCGATTGTCAGATTAGTGCATCGGATGATATCGGTATTTTCGAAGTTGAATCCGTACCAACTAGTTACGACCCAGATAAACCCCCCAAACGATCTTCCTACTCCAGCCTTGTCTTCACCAGTAGCTCCGCTGACCAAGATATTCCACCTTTTGACTCCCCAAAATGCGATAGGATGCTCATCCCCGTTTTCCACCGTACCATCAAATCGCAAGGCGCTAGGATTTCACGGCAACTATTCGGTGCTCCTTCATATATTGTGGTTAACCGCGAAGAGGCATATGATTATGATAGCATACTGCGTAAAGTTCTGCGAAACTCGGCAAATCTAACAAGTCGAGATTTCCTCCGTGAAGATGATGGAGATGCTGTCATGAGCTCTAGTCCAGCTGAGGATTCCGATACTGTCGTTACCAATGACGATGACTTTGACTCCTCCGATCCCAAGATAAAGGTGTCTTCCGTTGACGGGGAGGACGGTCTAGTTGATGTATCGATGCGGGATGCTTCCGATCCATCAAGTCAAATTAAATCGAAACCCAGAAATAATCCTGTTACTATTCCGAAAGTTCTTCGGCCAGGTAGCTTCATCCCGCCTAATCTTCGCAAATTATTCGAGATAAAAATCATGCGATCTACCGATGCTGTTCCCACCGGATTTTCCTCCGTTGACGAAATCAAAGACTTCACTTCGATGGCCTCCAGACTGCCCAGGAAGCAGAGCAAACGTGTCCATGCAAAGAAGAAGTTTGCCAGCCGTGGAAACAGCCCTATTAGTAGCGAGGACGAACTCAGTGGTCCTGCTCGCCGCGTTAATAGCGCTCGCTCGAAAGATGGTCATGATTCAGACGACTCTGGCTCTCAGGAGACCAAGGACGATAGCGGCACAGAGAGTGGCACAGACTCTTACCCACACAATGCGACTCTCCTACACAAGTTTGGACGTGAGAAGCCCAAGACATCGGCAGTCCGTAACGGACCACAGAGACCCATTCCCCTGATACGTGCCGGAGAGGGTATTATTCTGGAGTGGAATGAACACGCATTCGACGCTCTCTTCGCAGGTGATCCGCGTGAAGAGGACTCCCTGCGAGGATCCCCAACATGGATGAATATCGATTGCGTTCCCGACCCGGAACTAGCTGAGAAACGTCAATTGCGTCAATCCCGGAAAAAGCGCGGGGTTAGTCTGGATGAGTGTTTGGATGAATTCGGCAAGGAGGAGATTCTCTCCGAGAATGACGCCTGGTACTGTCCCCGTTGCAAAGAGCACCGTCGCGCGTCGAAGAAATTTGAGCTGTGGAAGTGTCCAGATATATTGGTGATGCATCTGAAACGCTTTAGCGCCAATAGAGGGTTCCGGGATAAGATTGACGCACTAGTTGATTTCCCGCATGAGTTGGATATGACTGGCCGGGTGCAAATGCCTGAGGAGGGCAAGAGCTTGCAGTATGAGTTGATCGCTGTCGATAATCATTACGGCGGCCTTGGTGGTGGGCATTATACTGCGTTCGCCAAGAACTTTTTTGATGGGTGTTGGTATGAATACAATGGTAAGAATTTTCAACTGCTTTGACTTTTTTCTTTCTTAATATTTGCCCACTTCGACGCCTGCTAAAACCGATCCTAGACTCCCACGTTTCGAAGAAAACAAACCCTTCTGCAGTGGTTACCTCTGCCGCATACCTTCTATTCTATCGCCGTCGTTCTGACGTCCCTTTAGGCGGAGAATATCTCGCCAATGTCACCAGAATGGCGAACAACCAAGACCAAGCCGACTCTGATTCACAGACCGACTCCCGACAGCCCTCCCCTTCGGGGGAAGGCCAGCGCCTCGGTGGCTCCTCCCGCAGTGGGTCGTCGAGCGCTTTAACCGGAGCCGCAGCAATTCACCAAGCGGGAGATGGTGGTTTGCGGGGCGGAATCCAAGCGAGGGATGATGACGACCTCCCAGAGTACTTCGAGCATGGCCTAGATGGCACCAGCCGGAACCATCTAGAAGACATGGATCTGGAAGATGAAGGGTTCGACGCAAGCTTTGGCCCAGAGCTGAATTTCTCCAACCACCCAATCTGGTCATTTGACCGTGCAGAGGTCCCGTATGGACCGTCAGGTCTCGTTTCCGCGCCCGCCAACTCCTTCTACGACGGCGACGGTGATGAGGATCTAGATGACGATGCTAGCAACAAGGCCGTCGGCGGTGGCGACATGAGCGATTCGGAATCACGGCTAGCGATGCTGAATGACTCCGATGAGCCGGGGATGGTCTTTGACGATCTAGATCCGACTACGGTACAGAATATTACGCATTAGCCTTCACTGAGAATTGACGTGGATATATGTCCGTCATTTGAGTTGTGGGTGATGATGAGGAGTAACTAACTACCGTTCCCTAGATCGGAAATGCTATTGTGGCAGGCAACTAAATTAGATGAACTCAGTTGCAATGAGTTATTTTGCATTGATTGATTGATGATTGTTTTCTGCTTTAGGTTGGAATGGAATGGAATGGTACGTATAACCGGGGGGGAGGGAGGCTGGCTTGAAAAAGTTCACGTTTTTCGTCAGGGCTTTCGTTCCCTGTGTTGTATTTAATCATTTCGTCTTCAAGTCCCTCCCCCCCTTTTTTTTTTTTTCCCCTCCTTCCTTTCTTTAACCCTGTCCCCTCGTCTCTGTTTTTTCTTCGTTGCACATTTTTGGCGCGAATGATGAGATGCAAAAGGAGGGACAAAGTAGATATATATTTCAATGACGGCTGAGATTTAACTTCGTTGCCTCGTGTCACTTGCTACCTTGGGCATTCCTTTACCTTCTTCCCCTTCTTCCTCTTCCTTTTCTTTTCCTCGTACACACAGATTTTCGTCCAAAATCTCTTCATTTTATCGGACTTTTATTTCCCCAAAATCCAAAGTCCTAGCAATCCCGCGCGGTTAGCACGCGCATTTTCTTTTCTGCGCTTGTTCAGATGGCTTTCCGTTTTATATCATGCTGGCGTTAGAGCATAACTATACAGGTTGTTTCTGCCCACGTTCTTTTTCTTTTTGCCTCTCGTTCCGTCCCTCTCTTTCCCTTCTGTTGTGGTGCAACTGAGACAATGTTCAGGACTGATCAGCATTATTTGTTCCAGGTACATACAACCGGGTAATTGTTGCTTCCCTCCAGTCCAACTTGAATCATTCTTCTTATCATATTTCCCCTTCTACCAACCCGCGCAATATACATAGTTTACTTACTTGAGGCATGTTATGTACATACCGGTTGCATCCAGGTCTTGCCGTCTTTTCCCCATTTTTCTTCCTTCCGGTTTCTACTCTACAGGAGATCAGCGAGGCATGGTCTGGTTTAGATTATAACAAAGGGTAATTCTAGCACAGTTTACACATATACTGCGGGAAGCGGGAATTGAAAACTCTTGCCCAGGGAATTTTAAAAAGAACCCCTGATTATATGAAATCCCCCGAGTTATTTGTTGGTTGGAGCTACCCAGCTTAGTCATCCACCTTCCTGTCCTCCGACATAGTTTTAGCTGGCCTTGTGCGTGCTAGGGATGTCAGGTGACTTCCTATGGGATTGCAACTCGTTCATTTGTCCCCAAGTAATTATATAAGGCTGGCCAGCAACACGTGACCTAGATAGACCTTCACAATATAACCGTGCCACGCGCACTCACCATTAGTGAGTACGCCCCACCGTAAAGAAAATATCACCATAATGAAAATCATCTAGGATCACCAATCTTCAAAAATTAATTAATGGTCAACACCATGCCTATCTATAATATAAAGATTATCTATATACTCATTAGAGTGTGTAGAATCTCTGATAGATTGAGATTCATTAATAATATTATGTTGTGGTTGATTGGTATTAGATTTGAAGACTTTAATCCCAACTGGCTATAAAGCTTTATTTCTCTCTTTTATTGATTCATCTTCCTTACAATACTTGATCTTGTGATTGGCATTCTTGATAGTGAGGATCCTCTCTATCTGCATCTGTCTGTGGCTGTTTTTGACAATTCAATATCTATTCATCAAATAATGAGCAGATAATTCATTCTCTCAATGCATATTCAATTCTACTTGTATCAGACTTCCTTTGAAGATCTTATCCAATTGCTGGGTCACATCAGATGTCAGAGTGTTTTTCATCTCTTGTATGATATTATCTATTGTCTTGATTTGCTGATGTAGTTTTATAATTATATCTGAAAATGTCAATTAAAAAGATGTGGTGAAGGATTAGATCTCATAGATGGAGTAAAACTGAAGCATTTTTCATCATCATCATAAACAAGCAGCTCTGGGCCATCATCTATTTTATATTGTCTCAGGGATTGAAGGATTATTTCTCATTTGATTGAATAGATTATACAATCAATGAATCTCAGTAAATTCAACTCTGATGATAACAGATTTGAAGATTTGATGACAGACATTCTCTAGATTAGCAAGGAACAGTCTCTCATTATATTGCTCATATCTGTATCAAGAAGCCTTGTTAACTACTTTTGTATGATAATGCTTATATTGCTGGAAAGTCAATCATCAAAAGATTACAGTAAATAACTTGTATGAGATGAGAATTCAAACACAATATCACTGATGTAAAACTTATACTGATTGAAGACAGATTCATAGTAGTTGAACTAGTTAATAACAAAGCTTATATTTTCATTTGACACTCATTTTGATTTCATAGGTTTCTGCTTGATCCTCTTATAATCTAGCAGATATTTGATGAATTGATACACCCACATCTTGTCAATGATAGAAGGAGGGGGTATTAGAATTGATATGATAATAACTCAGCATTCAATTCGCAGCAGCTTCAATATGTTCAACTATAGAAGGGCAAAAGTTTTTATTCAATTGATGAATCCACTTCTTGATCACTTTCTTCTGTGCTACCGAGCCTCTATCACTAGCAAGCTTCACCTGTAGCCGCAGGGTAAGGTTAAGCCGAACGGGAGTGCCGTAAGCTTGATAACTAGGACAGGGGGTAGTGCCACTATCACGAGTAGTAAGGATGTCAATTAGAGGATCCTTATAACCAACGATAGCTACGGCTAGGGGGTCAGGTGTGCGTAGGGCTTGAGTGAGACGGGCACCTGAGAGGGTGTACAGTTAGGTGGTCAAAGCTATGACAAGTATAGGAGCGGGGATGTATCAGATAAACGCAGACACAATGTGGGTAGGATGGAGTAGAGATCAGGTAGATGAATGGAGAATATAAAATTGATCGTGATCAAGAAGATAGGCCTCTTGATCCTAGGGGTAATGAGCGTGTTTATATACATGATGGAAACCTCTTGATAGATCTGACAGCCCATGGTATATAGTCATACCAGCCTACCAATCTACCACCCAGTAGACTTGGTAATGTCTGATAGATAGTCATACCAATCTATCAATCTATCAATCACGTGACCATCTCTTTAGGTTAGTCCTGGAACCCAGGGTTATTCCGTCTGAAACCCTAGTTCCTTTATCCTCTGCAATTCTTATCCAATGATCCCTGGGAGTCTCCTGTTGGTTCACAACATTCTGACTGTCACTCAACATTTGATTGATCAAAGCTTCTATATTCCTTGATCTTTTTCTTTTAATGTGTTGATACAAAGTTCCATATGGAATTTAGAATTCTCACACCACATCTGTGATTTTTAAATTTTGATTTGATTTTATGGTGTCTAATGCCATCTAAATCTGATCTTCCGAATATTTACTATTATTAGGCATGGCGGTGGTGGTTATTGATTTTTGAAGATTGGTGATGAATATGCAAGAAAGAGATTTTCGTTACAGTGATATTTTCTTTACGGTGGGGCGCACTCACTAATGGTGAGTGCGCGTGGCACGGTTAATATGGAACTATATAATATATAGCGTTTTTGTTTGGGGGGGTTGGGAGGAGGGTAAATCACCGAACGAAGAGACACGCGTATGCGATATTTGCCGTCATCGTAATTAACCATCATTTATTTATCAGCCACGCTAGGAGCATCATTGGATCAGCAGCGAAATCCCCCCAGCCGCGGATTATCGGGATCAGGGATGTATAGACGCTCAGCATGTTCAACTCCTCTGCTAGTGTCGATGGATGCAGCCATTTATCCGTTCTTGTCGCTGTGCGGTTGAGGGGTATTTAGTAGTGGGTGTCACTGGGCAGGCAGCGACCTGATAACTATGGGTCCGAACTCGTTGTCATATAAAGGGGGCCCAATGCGCCGGCAACCTTTTTCAGCTGTTTTAATCTTCCACGGGTAGACACGTTTCCTTCCTTGACTGCCTCGAACATCAAGCTTCGTTCTTTAATGGTAGAAGCTCTACAAGACTATGTGAACTTCAACATGCCTACTCTCGAAATAAATGTGCCTGGCGAATGCCACCTGAACCGCACTGCCGAAAGGGCCTTTCTCACTGTGCGTGTATCGACAGAGAGTCCAAAACAAGAAGAAGCGGCAGAGAATGCCACCAACACAGTAAACAGCCTGCACCAGCTGTTTCGCGAGTTATCTCCAAAGACGGAGAGTGGAGGTGCCACCCCTGAAGCAGCCGTTACTCTATTTACTATAGGATCAATCTCCACCTCGTCAGCGATCCCACTAGACGACAAAGGCAAAACCACCGGCCCACGCAAATATTCAGCCTATGCCACTATCTCCGCGATTTTCCGCGACTTCGCTAAGCTCAGCATGGTGATCAGTCAGCTTTTCATGATGCCTTTTGTAGAAGTGGAGAGGATCGACTGGCGATTGACGGAGGAGACGATCCAGGTCCTTGCTAAGGAAGCCCAAAAAAAGGCCCTCTTGGACGCAATTGAGAAGGCAGCTGTTTACGCAGAGGTGGTTGGGCGAGAAGTTTTTTTGGTGGAAATTAACGATGAGGGGGGATATTCTTCTACTGGCAGGACGAAGCAGACAAATACACGTAATTTGACGAGAGGTGGTCAGGGAGGAGGAGGCATGGACAGCATTGATTTGGAACCGCAGGAGATTGTTCTATCCTCTTCGATCAAGACGGTATTCGCCACAACAGAATGGAAAAAGCCAATTTCCCTCTCCCTATACTGAATTGTGGTGGATGTCGTTCCATCTCGCACTTAGGATCCAGGTGGGACTAATCGAAGGAACATTACGATGTTAACAACAACCTTACCGAGATGTTGCCTTGGGCAGAAAATTGAGACAAGACGGCAGCACTTTGTGGTATTTATTATATATGATGGGCTGGATATGGGTTTTTCCATCAGATCAGACTGCTCTCTTTTCCATATCGCTCTTCCAAACGCTCCCCCTCCTTGGGCGTTTTATATACAATTGCGTCTCCTGCCTCCAGCTGCAGTAGAGACTCCTTCTCTGCGATCCCTCAGCCCAAATCCTTTGGAAACTACTTGCCCGCGCTTGGTCTCCCCTTCTCTTCTTCTTCTTCTTCTTCTTCTTCTTCTTCTTCTTATTCGTCTCCTTCAATCGTGACTCGGGCCTGCCAAAAAGACATGGGAGCCGTCGGTGTTTTTATGTTTCTATATTTATTGTTGCGGGCCATTTCTTGTTCAAATGCTTCGCTGCCATGCATGTTCTCTCTGCAGTTTACGTTGGTCGATGCTGGTTTCTGTTGCTTCATCTTCATTTTTAGATGCTATATACTTATGAACTTCATATTCAGGATAAACATTTTCTCCCCCCCATTCCTTTATCTTTTAACGTACCTATTCCCCACAATGGGGAAATGGGTTAATTTTCGACCCGGTTGGACTCACCGTTCAAACACAGAAAGGGATATGCCACAACAGAGGCCCTCTTGGGAGCAGCATATCTCACATATTTATGGTGCAGACATGACTCGACGAGAACGGGAGGATGCATTGATAAGCGCATCATTTACGGATATTACGAGGGCTGTAGATACGCGAAGCACAGGATATTCGATTCCACATGAGGATTCTGCACGCCCCGACGCAGAACGAAGAAATTTAGATCTCAGAGGACAGGGGGCAGTCATGTCGCAATATCCTGCACTTACCGCACAACCGCCTTCAGGACACGGAGACACAAGCCCATTGACAAGTGGGCTAACCACTAGTTTCCATCCCCAGTCTTCCATGCAGTCAATCTCGAGACAGGCCCAGATTACCGCTCAGGGTCTTGAAACTTCCTTTGCAGTCGTACGTAGTGATGAAGGGAGTCAACACGGCGAAAGTCACCACCCCAGATATGTACATCCTCCGTTCGCTGCCCGACCGTGGAACGCACAGCCCAACGTAGGTGTTCTAGCATTCGAAACTGCTACCAATAATGTCTTCCCTAGCGCCGCACAGTCGAATATTTCTCACCTGAGTGGAGACGAGATGGAAGTATGCAAGGCTGCGACCCCTGAAGAGCTGGGGCAGGCATCAACTGCCAACGCAGCCGACGGAGCTAAAACGCCTCTGAAGAGACATGCAGATTTAATCCCAGCAGATGCACCCAATCCAAAACGATTGTCAGGAGGGGGCCCAATTCTTACCCAGGGCCGCTCCAGGAGAGTCAAAATACGCGGCTCTTCTGATAGACTCGAACCTCATCCAAGGCTATCTAGTGGGGAGGTGTTTGCAAGCGACAATGAACACGCCATTGCTGATTGCTCATCCACCTTTGGAACCGATAACTATGATTTGTCAGATGATGGCCGGCGCCTATTGGAAGAGAGCGACAAGGGGTATAAAGCTGGGTCAAGTTCTGTACGTTATTCGCAGCTCGAAAGATATATTCTTCTTCGATGTGAAAACTAATACATACCTTCGCTCCAGCCCCCATCTGACCTCGAAGAAATGCGAAGAGTGGAAACAAGTACAGGGAAAGGCTGGGATATTTCTGGAGGTGATGCACTTCACAAGCACGGATACATGTTACGACCACGCAAGCGGTAGTTCGCATTGCCGGTAAGCGCCACTAGACGCGCTGTGTGGTGCGTACAATCCTATGTCGAAACGGCTGGTCGTTGGGATAGTGGGAAAGTATTTTAACAACAAGAACCGTTTACTTGCCTACTATCATTTGTGTTTTTTTGATGCGGTTGCTCATTCTTGCTGACTCTGTTATGTTTGATGTCTGGCATTCGTTACACTCTTCTTCGCTGCATTTTGTTTTTCGGCCTACACAGAAGTGTCATCAATGTCTAAATAGACATTTTTCGGTCAAACTCGAATCGATTGTTCGCGTGGGATAGGGAACAATCACGGGAATCACTATAGAACGTTTTCTTTTTCTTTTCTCTTCTCTTCTTTTCTTTTCTTTCGTTTCTCAGAAGAGTAACTTCCATAGACCCAAACAATTCGACAGATATGATACCGGAACAGACAGCGAGTTGTATAGTTACGTGGTATGAAATATGTGGGAGACCTGTTTCACCAGCGAAGGGGAAGCACCCGCATAGTCGAGGGAATGAACAGGAGAATGAACTGTCTTGGGAAGGGCTCTTCAGCTTCGCGGATGTTCGGCATCAGATTATCCAAGATGCCATCTTCTATATTTTTGTCTTCTCTACTCTATTGTAATCAAAACTAATAATCATTCATGAGTTACAATATCCCTATGGTCAAGACAACGAAATTATTTAATTACCGCCAGCAACTGCAGCACTCAGCTCTTTTAATCGCCTCCAACCATCAGTTTCCTCCCAAAACTCCTTCCCCTTGCCCTGTACACTCCGCACCGCACTACGCGATTTAAGTCTCCAATCTTTCGCGACCAACTCTGCTCCACGACTCCCGTCTGCCTTCCCTCCCTCCTCCGGAATTGCGGTCCCTTCTTTCTCCTTATCCATAGGCCCGAAGACAGCATAGCCCTCATGGACAACTCGCTCAGTCGCCTCCACTACCTCCACCCATTTCTTTTCATAGCCCAACTGGAACGCCCCCTGCGTGCATGATGCGACAGTAGCACGCCACGCCTTCTCATGCGCCGCCAGTGCGCGCGACGGTCTATTCCGCCACGCCTCTACCTTGGCAATGAGCAGCCATAGTTGCGCTGAGTGTGTAATGAGCGGGACGACGTCTTCGTCGAGGAGTTTGAGGATTAGGGCCGGGATCGTGCCCCGGCGGAAGACAGTTGCGGGCGGGGGCGTAGGTATGAATTTCGATACGCCATGGTTGGAGTTACTAACTTCATGATCCGCTATAAGGGTGTCGACAAGCATGGTGAGGATGTTAACGTCGACCGCTTTTTCACCCTTCTTGGGACCGCAGAGATCAATGACGCGTTTCTGAGCGTAGATGATGTCGCGAAAGGGGGTGTCCGGGGGCGGAATGGATGCGCTGACTGTCAGCAGGTTGTCCCAGATGCGGTGGTCGTTGTGTTTGTATTTGGCGGCTCGTTTCAGGGCGACAAGGGCTTCGCGTTTATGCTTGTGTAGGTCAGGCCTTTGTGGAACGGGAGTTGACTCCTCTCCACGAACATCTATTGTATTCTGATCGGCAATTGTGACTGGTTCTGTGGTGGTGGTTGGTGGAGGAAGATTGATTAGCGCTGCAGCAAGGTTGCTCCAGGCCTCAGCATCTGTTTCCTCCAACTGCACACTTCGAGTGAACGATTCCACAGCATCCTCGTATTTCTCCAACTCAAGCCGCACGCACCCAAGCGCAAACCAGGCACTATGGTTGAGACGGTTGATAGCCAAACTCTTGCAGTATGCTTCCTCTGCTTTGTCAAATGAAGGAGGTTTAGTAGATAGATAAAGGCGCGCGAGGGAGCGTTGGGCACGAGCATATCGCTGATTCGAAACTGTCCATGCGCGTTCATACATTGTAGGGTCCTTGTCGATGTCACCCAGAATACAAAACAGGCGCGGGGCATCCACGGGGAGCTGTGGGAGTTCACCACCTTCAAAAACATCGTTGCCATCAGTAGAGCTTGGATTCTTCCGTTTGAATAACTGCCTCCGCACCATAATTCTAGCCATATCTTCTCTGTCTGTAGCGGCATAGCACAAGGCCGCTTCCGCCCACATTTGCAGTCGCTCATAGATATCAAGGGCACTGCGGAGACCGCCCAGACTAACCCATCGGGAAGCAAGTTCAGCCTCGAGGTCCCATCTGGTAGAGAAGTTGAGAAGCCAAATATACTCAAGCCGATCCATTGCAGGTGCTGACTCTGATGCTTCAGGGCGAGGAAGGAAAGTAGAAGCCTGCTCAGAAGCTTCACCGGTATTGGGAATGGGATCGGATGCTGTGTCAGCAATAACCTGGTCGACTAGTGCTTGTAGCTGTAGCAAACCCCGTTCCGCTGTTCGTGATCGGTACCCTTCGATCTTACTTCGAACTAGGAGAGCCTGAGAATAGACCTGCCAGTTCGAGCTTCCATCATCGAGAACTCGTGTCGCGTAGGGTAATGTTTCCTCTCTCGTGAGTCCATGTTGTGGTGAGGTATTGGTTATTGCTGATGCAATCGAAAGGAGGATAATGGAATCCAACGTGTTCAGTTTTGGCTGGTCTGAGGGATCAAGAGCTGCGAGAACCGGGGGTAGAGTAGAATGGTCCTCAATCGTCATCGATCTCTCCTGTTCCTCTACTGGCTCGTCTTTCCTGAAAGATATAGCCTCCAAAAGTGTGTCGTCGTTTAAATCCAGATTATTAGGCTTGGAGCTTGCTGCTCCTGTGTCCCGTATTTTCTTCTGTGTCAGAGTTTTCTGTTCTTGATCAGCTGGTGTCTCTAATATATGCCCTCCATCCGCGCTTTTCGCCAACACAACAAGTTGACTAATATCTCGATCCTGAAATTTGGTCCGCTTCCCCAACTTCCCCGTCAGTGCATATTGGAACCCAGTTTCATGTGCAGCATGCTCTAGGTCTGCCCTGGCCTTGGTGTCTAAACCATGATGCGTATGGATCGTTGCTCTTTCTAATAGAAATCTCGCGCGTTCCTCCACAGTTCGCGAAGCTGCAGTATCAGCCTGTAAAATCTCATCACCCAAAAAGTCCAAGTCCATGTAAATAAGTGACTGCAACGTCGTGGTATTTTCCGAAAGCATCTTTTGATGCAAGAAGTTAACTCTCATCCGAAACGTCCAGGCAAGCAATGGTGTATTTTTAACCGTCTCGTTCTCACCGGTGGAGGAGGGAACAATAGCCGGATGATTTAGAATCGCTTTGGCTAGGCAGAATAGCTCAACGTTGGGCGTGAGTTTATATGCTGCTTCGCCATCAACAGTCAGGCTGCGCACCATCGACTCACGCAGAGCCTGCAGAGTTTCAGCCGCACCGGCTCCTCTCCCACCCTTTTCCATTAAGAAGTCAGCGATCAGAAGATCAGCGGACCGAAAGGGCAATGGAGGACCAGTAACATTTGACTGAAGAAATGCGGACAAGGCCGCGACTGCAATGTGGAGGAGCTGGGAACAGGTACGTGATGCACCAGCGGCACCCTCAGCACGGAGAATCACGTCGACACTTTTGACGAGAAAATCAATATACGATAACTGGCCATTCATGAGGCATTCCTTTGCATCTAGTGAGATCTGCTCTTGTTCAACACGGCCGCAGACCATTTGGGTGAGTGGGAGATGTAGGATGGCGCAACATGCGTCATCTGAAAGATGGAGCGCATCATAACTGGAGAATGTGGAATTCGATAAATTGGTATATAAAATATCCAAGGACGCGGGGAGGTGCTCCAAGTCTGCCATGAGTAATTAGATTGTATTGGCTGGTGCAAGGGGTTTTTTTTCTTTTTTTTTTTCCCCCCAACTAATCCTTGGTGGGGAAGTTGATCGGGAAAAAAAATTCTGTGCGGTTAATTACCTGGCGTTCTTTGAGAGTAGCCAGCAAAGATCACCCTGACAATGTGAATTCATTCAGTCTCCGCCATGGTGAAAGCAGACATTTTGATAAAATATGATGCCAAAATTGGGCAAATTTCGGTCCATTCAGTGTATGTTCATGGATATAGTTAACTCTCAATAGTTTTTTATTGGATTACTAAGTGGATCTCTGAACCTTATCTGATTGTATGAGTGGTAGAGGTAGCTTCTGAGAAATATACATTTGGTGCTTTTCGTCAACTGAAAAATAAGGAAGAACAAACCCAGAAGAATACGCATGAAAGTTGTTGGAGCTGTGAGAACTTACTTCACTGTTGTAGCATGTAATTTAGATATGGCTCTTACTCATGTGGATAGACCTGTTCTTAACATCTCCCGAGGAATATGAGTTTTAAAACTGGAATTTTATTTTGAATAGAAAAGAGGATGATCAAGGAGCCATCGCAACAGCTGCTGAAGCATCTGGCTTACTGATATGCCATCAATCCATTTAAACTAACATATGGAAAAAATGTAAGACTAATCACCACTGTAGATGGAGTGGGTGGCATGCAAGAAACAAGATGTTCCTCCTTGTTATGAAGACAATTACTGAATGCCAGCTATTGGAAAAACAGTCCTGTTTGAGAAAGCAAGCAGGTACAGATGTTCAAAATTCGAAACAAAATTGAGTGTAATCTGAAATATGTCCCTGATTGACTTTGCAGTGAAAGCGATCACACTGCAACCAAGTGAATAGCTATGCTAGACAGTGTGTGCCGTGCTTCCAAATGTTGAGTATAACATAGTAAAAAGCAACAAGACCTGAGATACCCATCAAGTGTTGCATTTTCAGGAGCCAAGTATGTGAAATTTGCTGTCTGAAATGGTCACAGACTCTCAATGTGCTTGTGTTAACCAGGTACTAGTGATAAGATCCCAAACTGAAAATTGCGAGCAAAATGAAACTACGCTAACATCCGTGAATTTGAGAAATGACATGGTATTATCCTGTGGGAGAAGTATCAGCTAGAGACAGCTTTTGGTGCCGTGGACCAGGAAAGAAGAGAAAATAAAATTTTAAAATATATATATATATATATATAAAAAAAAAAATATCATAATAACTGATCTCTTTCAATATCGAGAATTTAATAAGATCAACGGTTCTGCAGTCACATGACTCCGCCATTGATGTCCAATGCCCGCCCCCGATCCGGCCTAGATCATTCACGTGACCTGTAGCTCTGATAGGCTTCTACCAATGCCAAACCAATCCATTAACGACTTCCTACTCCAAGGACACAGTGAGTTTTAAAGGGTTGATATATTCTCTGTCTGTGTTGGACATGCCACGAAAGAGTTAGGCCCTATGTTGGTAGACTAGAGAGAGATACCAATGTTGGTTGTCTCTTTGATTACATCTTCTTTAATCCTGTCAATTGGGAGTGATCAGCCTCCAATGGCTCGAGGTGTTTGTTTGACTATGCCGGTTGGTCGGGAAATCGCTGGTAGCCTCCGGTCTATTTTTTGACCTTGGCTTTGTATGGGTTGAAGCGGCTCATTAAGGATCGATATATCCGGCACAATCCAATAATTATTGGATCCAGTCACTTGTCACCAAGCATCAGAATTTCCTAGTGTTCGGCAGATCTAGTACCTATTGAATGAGGGAATACGGATTTCTCATGGGGCTGCATGGGTTCAGCGACTGAAATTCATAATATGTTGAATTGTTTTTATGTCACCTGGGCAGATTTGGTGGTTAAAATTATATTTTACGCCGCAATATGTGGATGACCAGCAGCGGCCCAGTAGAGACAACTTCAGACTTCGTTTGGTCAAGCGTTTGGCTCCTAGACCCATTTTAGTCCATCTTCCTGAGAGAATGCGAGAAAAGGCCCACAGGTGTTTGAACGGAAGTACTCTCCGGAGACCAGAGAGAAATACAGCCGGTAGGACCAAAATGTCCAAGGGTTGTTATAAGCCGCAGTCAATATCTTCAAAAGTGGAACCAACGGAATCGCAAGAGGAACTTCATGGGTCAATCTTTCTCTCCAGTGGAAGAGCCTAACAATATCATTCAACCTCAAGCCGTGCCCTTTCAGAGGGAATGCAAAACTCGAGACTGGTGCCAAAATAGCTGGATGGGGTCTGCTGCTGATCAAGAGCCAGCAGCATATTGCAGTACATGCCAGAGAAAGCCGAGAGGGAATAATAGCAAAGAGTAGACTAGGTCAGCGAAGGATAAACTCCTTCGAGAAACCAAATCCTTGACAAGGACTTCTTTCCAAGTGAAAAGTGGTCTGTCACCTTTTCAACGAACGTGCGGCCTGGGAATGAGGCAAGACAGTGGCGGGTCTGTGACCAGAAGTCCAAGCTCCAAGCTAATCAACGACGACAATGTCGCTGTCAGAGTGGAGACATGGAAGTCAATAAACCTGAGGTCCACTTGCTAAACGTGAGAACGTTTTTCGTTCTTACAAAGATGCTCGATGATGGTTAGTGACGTAATTGCCGGATTACATCCATAACTAACGCCTTGGGGGACAAAGAACCTGGGCAGTCTTCCATCGATGAGGGCAACCACCTGGTACTTGTGAAGTGCCAATTCACCGACAAAGGAGAGGTAGGTACCTAACTTTAAAATCAAATCTGTATACAGTTTACAGTGGACGGAAAATTGCCGTTGGAGAAAATTTTTGTGGGGATTCGAATGGAAATAATACGCCCCTAAAAACTTTTTCTGCAGTCTGTCTTCTGGTAGTAACTATTAAGTTATAACCTAGTTAGTTAGTTAACGAGTTAGTTAGTTAAGTTTAGAGTTAAAATTAGCTAAGTGCCAAGACAGGACGGAGAAGTTCCAGAACACTTCGTGGATCCCTGGCAGTGGAACAATCTGTTGAGGAGGTTTACGCGGGCACCAGGTGGCGAAACCAGAATAATTACTCCGAGCTTTGATTGAAATATCATTCATTAAGCGGAGGCTTGGCGAGATGGTAATTTTTGCATGTGAGATTATTATTTTTTATTGTGCGGACTATTTATCTCAAATTAACGTATTTATGAATTAATTATATTAAATCGCAACGAAACTGAGAGGGCTAAAAAGGGGGTATAAGTTTGGGATTTGGGCGTTGAAACAAGGGCCATAATTATACCTTGCATTGTGTAAGTCCCTGTTGGACTCGAAAACGGAAAACAGCAAAACCAAATGTGTAGCAAGATACTAGCCAATTACCCCAGGAAATGGGAAATATGATTATCCATCCCCAGAAGGATAAAATACATAGCACAATAATGAATGGTAACCGTTACCCCAGTGAATGGGATAAGAACAGCGAAACAAGGTCGTCGGTATGGAGTTGCGGGCCGCAAAGGGCAGCAATTTTTCGTAGGGCATCTGCAAGCCACCGATTACAGCCCGCCTCGCCCCGCAAAATTCCGGACGAGCTTTGGCAGGGCGAGAATCGGCAGGAACCTGGAACACTGGGGCGATTAGGTAATGCGGCAAATAGTTAACTAAGTTATCGATCCCGTGATTTACGCGATGCTGATTGGCTGCTGTACTCGCGCCACAACTGTCCCCCAATCTATGAAAGGGAGAAAGCAAAAAAAAATATAAACAAAGCAGAAAAAAAAATAAAAATAAGTAATAATAATAATAATAATAATAATAATAATAATAATAAAATAAAATAAAATAAAATAAAAAAAAAAAAAAAAAAAAAAAGGCACGACTCCCAGAGCTTGATTTGTTTATCCCTTGTCTTATCAGGCCCTATCCGGTGGAGAATCTGGAGCCCGCTCTGGAATCTGCAGCCAGCCAGCGCCCAGCGGGAACTTGGAGCCTTCCAAATGGTGCCCAGGCGAAAAGGGGGAGACAGGACAGGAAGCGAAAGCTACGAATCAGATTACCAGGGAGAGCCTTGTGTCAAGGCGGTGAGCCTCAGCGGTATGAACCCCTGTGCCAGAGTTCGAACCAACCCAGCGAATACTGGATGTTCTATACTCCGTACCTGGGCCCGGCTCGAGGTTTAGGCTGTAGATCTGCAGCAAACCTGGCTGGAACCAGTCAGATACAGCCTCGAACACCGCCACATAACTAGCTCTTTGCTTATCAGAATGCAGACTTTTTTAATCTTCCCGTTTTCCTTTTTTTTTCTTTTTTTTCTTTTTCCTTTTTTTTTTGTGTGCCCAACAAAAAAACAGAAAAGTGGGTAAACCCCCACCCCTTTCCCCTTACCCCTCTCGGAAAAAGGGGAGACGGGGCTGAAAATAATTAGTCCATTTCATCAGAGTCTTATCAGTTATCAGTAGGGATGGTAGTATTCCGTCGAAGTATCTTAACAGTTAAGAGGTGTGGAGATTTTTTTTTTCATAATTTTTTTTTTTTTTCATTTTATTTTCATCTTTATTTTTGACGAACGATCAAGCATTGATTGTGCGATTTTAGTCAGTTGGTGGTGTAGAGCGTCACATGTGGATTGGATAAAAATAGGTGGCTGCAAGCCTGTAAGCTGCAAGAAGCCAACCCAAATTCCCACCCAGCTTCCAGCAGGACCGCAACAGGATGATTTTATATCTGGGTGCTTGCATGAAAGCGCCCGGCGCCCCCTTGGATGAAGCCTGGCGCCCTGAAGCTGAGTCAGAGCCAGTCATACGTGGGAAGAATAGTGTCTCTAGAGACCTGGAAGCAGACATGGCCAGGACATCATCCATCATCCAGAGTAATCATCTTGAAATACATGTACATATACTCCGTATGTACCTGGGTAAAATAAGATGCCCCTCTCTATACTGTCATCAATACCTGTGAGGCGTGCGATTAGTCATGTACGGCATAGTTCACAACGATACCATACACCGCCTCCTCAGCCACCCAATCAGAGGCCCTGAATAGCCGGTATTTGGGTTTCAGAGTTACCAGCATACCGCGGCTTCCCTTTCGGGCTTAGACTCAGAATAAGAGTCAGCCCCAGCCAGAAAAAAAAAAATTAAAAAAAGTTGAGAGTTTTATAAAGACAAGAATTTCTTCCCTTCTGCGTTTGTTTTCTTCCCTTTTTTTCCTCTTCCTCTCCCTCTCCATCTCCACTCAACCCTTTTCATCTCTCTCTCGTTTTTCTTTCCCGTCTTTTCTTTCTCTTTGGGTGTTCTTATTATCTTCTTGTGATAGACTTTCGAAAAGCAAGGGTCTTGCAACTTTTGACGGTTTCTCATCTCCTCGTTCATATCTTGCATTTGCGAGGAGCTCGCTTCTCTCGAGTATCCCAACTTCGATTCGCTCTCATCACACAAATAAAATTTGAGCGAAAAATCTCTTTTACAAAAATATCTTAATAACTCTCCGTATCAGTCAATTCAGCGATTCTCTTCTTTTTCCCCTTCTTGCAAAAGAAGGGTCCTCAATTCTCCCACAATTTCATCCAAAATTTCATTCAAAATGCCTGCCGTCGACGTTTCTCCATCCATCCCATCCCCTACCGGCAAAGAGGCTGCCAAATCCATCGCTGTCCTCGAAGAGCTCGTCAAGAGTCTTTCCATCACCAAGACTGCTGATGAGGCTAAAGCTGCCGCTAACAACATTGCCACCCTCCTAAACGGCCCTGTCGAAGAGCAGGTTCTCCCAGCCAAGTAAGTATTTGCTCTCTATTTTTTTAATCTTAGTAATCCAACGAGAACTACAACACTGGAGCCTAGCAGAAGGTTTTGGAGATGGCTGACTGGCTGACTGATTTGCTTTTAAAAAAATTCAGGGCTGTTGAACTCCTGAAGAAACAACTCTCCAACAAGAAAGATGCTGGTGCTCGTGAGCGGGCTCTCGATGGCATCCTCGCCATCGCCTCACACTCCACAGTTTCTCCCGCTGTCGAGCCATACCTTGTTACTCTGCTTGCTCCAACTTTGGCTGCTGTCGGTGACAAGATGGTCTCCGTGAAGCAGATCGCCCAGGCCGCAGCTGTTGCCCTTGTCAAGGCCATCAACCCCAACTCTGTTAAGGCCGCTCTGCCTTCCATCATCAACTCCATCTTGTCAGCTCAAAAATGGCAGGAGAAGATGACTGGTCTTCAGTGTATTGAGGCCCTCGTCGAAACTGCTCCAGCACAGCTTGCTTTCCGCGTCCCAGATCTCATTCCCGTTGTCTCGGAATCCATGTGGGATACCAAGCCAGAGGTCAAGAAATACGCTTACAGTATCATGGAGAAAGTCTGCGGCTTGATTGTCAACAAGGATATCGAACGCTTCATCCCTGAACTGATCAAGTGTATCGCCAAACCCGAGAACGTCCCCGAGACTGTTCACTTGCTCGGTGCTACTACTTTCGTCACTGATGTCCACGAACCCACCCTGGCTATTATGGTTCCTCTGCTCGACCGTGGACTTGCGGAGCGCGAAACTGCCATCAAGCGAAAGTCAGCAGTTATCGTCGACAACATGTGCAAGCTCGTTGAGGATCCTCAGATCGTTGCCGCTTTCTTGCCCAAGCTCATGCCTGCGCTTGAGAAGAACTACGAAACTTTGGCAGATCCTGAGGCACGTGAGAAGACCAAACAAGGTCTCGATACTCTCATCCGCGTCGGTGATGTGAAAGATGGCAAGATCCCTGAGGTCTCCAAGGCTAGTGATCTCGAAACAGTCTCTGCTATCCTCAAGGAGGTCCTCGAGCCAAAGCACAAAGCTCAGATCCTCAACTCCGAGGCTACCATCCAATACGTTGCCGCCATTGCTGGTCAACTCGTCGACGAGAAGGTTGTTGACCTCCCATCCTGGACTGAAAATACCCTCCCCTACATCACTGCTATTGTAGGCGAGGCCGATGCCAGGCCCATCGCTGAATCTCTCCGCAAGCGTGCCTCCCCCGGTGCTGCTGAGGAGTCTGAGGTTGAGCCAGATGAAGAGGAAGGAGAGGATCTTTGCAACTGTACCTTCAACTTGGCCTACGGTGCTAAGATCCTTCTCAACCAGACTCACCTGCGCCTCAAGCGTGGTCAACGGTACGGTCTCCTCGGCCCCAACGGTTCTGGTAAATCCACCCTCATGCGTGCCATCAACAACGAGCAGGTCGAGGGCTTCCCCAAGAAGGATGAGGTCAAGACTGTCTTCGTCGAGCATGACCTTGACGCTGCTGATACAGAGCAGACCGTCATTGGCTGGACCCAGAAGAAATTGGCCGATGTTGGCGTGCAGATTTCCCAGGAGGCCATCGAGGAGCGTCTGATTGAATTCGGTTTCCTCAAGGAGCAGTTCGAAAGTCCAATAACCTCTCTCTCTGGTGGCTGGAAAATGAAACTTGCTCTTGCCCGTGCCGTCTTCGAAGAGCCAGATATCCTCTTGCTCGACGAACCAACCAACCATCTCGACGTCAAAAACGTTGCCTGGCTCGAGCAGTACCTCATCAACTCTCCTTGCACTTCCATCATCGTGTCCCACGACAGCAAGTTCTTGAATAACGTCATTCAGCATGTCATCCACTATGAGCGTTTCAAGCTCCGCAGATATCGCGGTAACCTGTCCGAGTTCGCCAAGCGCTGTCCCTCTGCTCGCTCTTACTTTGATCTCGAGGCGTCAGAGATGGAATTCAAGTTCCCAGAGCCCGGTTTCCTTGAAGGTGTCAAGACCAAGGCCAAGGCCATTGTCCGTGTCAACAACATGAGCTTCCAATACCCTGGCACCTCCAGACCCCAGATCGCAGACATCAGCTTCCAATGCTCGCTCGGCTCCCGTATCGCTGTTATTGGTCCCAACGGTGCCGGAAAGTCCACTCTCGTCAACGTCCTGACTGGTGAACTAATCCCCACTTCCGGTGAGGTCTACCAGCACGAGAACATCCGTATTGCCTACATCAAACAGCATGCGTTTGCTCACATCGATAACCACCTTGACAAAACTCCATCCGAATACATCCAATGGCGTTTCCAGACCGGCGAAGATCGTGAGACCATGGACCGCGCCAACAAGATCGTCACTGACGAAGATGAAAAGGCCATGGACAAGATTTACAACATAGATGGCAGCAAACGTCGCGTAATCGGCGTCCACTCCCGCCGCAAATTCAAGAACTCCTACGAATACGAATGTTCTTTCGTCCTCGGTGAGAACGTCGGTATGAAGAACGAGAAGTGGACTCCGATGATGACATCTGACAACGCATGGATCCCACGTAATGAGATCCTCGCCTCCCACGCCAAGCTTGTCGCTGAAGTTGATCAAAAGGAGGCTCTCGCCAGCGGTCAATTCCGCCCTCTGGTTCGCAAGGAGATCGAACAACACTGCTCCTACTTTGGCCTTGATGCCGAGCTGGTCTCCCACTCGCGCATGCGTGGTCTCTCCGGAGGTCAGCGTGTTAAAGTCGTGCTCGCCGCTTGCTCTTGGCAACGACCTCACTTGATCGTACTTGACGAGCCCACCAATTATCTCGATCGCGATTCTCTGGGTGCTCTGTCCAAGGCACTTAAGTCTTTCGAGGGTGGTGTGATTATTATCACACACTCCAGCGAATTTACCGAAGGCCTTACACAGGAAGTTTGGTCCATGCGACCCAACGAACAAGGAATCGGTATCATGACGCCATCTGGACACAACTGGGTTCAGGGACAAGGCACAGGGCCTCGTTTGACGGAGAAGGATGACACTGAGGATAAGTTCGATGCAATGGGTATGTATTATCGCACCCCACTTCTGTCTAAGATGATTTCACCAGTCCACTAACATTTTCTTTTCTCTGCTTCAGGTAACAAAATCGAATCCACGAAGAAAACCAAGAAGCTCACTTCATCTGAACTCCGGAAGAAACGCAAGGACCGCATGGCTCGACGGAAGAAGGGTGAGGATGTCTTTTCGGATGAAGAGGATATGTGAAACCTCTACCAACAGGATAGATCTCCTTCCCTCATATTTTTTCCTTTCCATCTAGACTTGATCTTCACCCTTCTCCAGTGGCTTGTTCCCACCCTTGGTTTCTCCTCGTTTCCTGCCATAGATTCCACCTTGCGTTCTTCATGTTCTGTTGATAGTCACTAAAAACTTTTCCTTGATTCCTTGGGTGTATGATTTTGCCTGGCGTTGGTTGGATGTTACGAAATCTTTTGTTCTGTCACCCAGTGTGATATATGTCACATTTTACCTCTTTTTCTTCTCTAGTCTTTATCTTTTCTTGATCTGCTGTTTCCATTCATGGGCCATGTCTTCGCGCTTGGTGGAAAAGATATAACTCATTTTTTCTTTTTCTCTTATTCTCTTGTTTCTTTTTCTTTTTCTTAATACAATTGATTCAATTGACTTGTATGTTTTTCTCACCTGTCCGTCTGCATTGCAGTCAAGACTCCCGTCATAGTGTTTTAAATACGCATTACAGGGCTGAAAAACATAAAAATAGACTTAAAAGGTTAAAGTTTCGAGCCTGGTCTTTTGGAAGGTGTCTGGCAGAGCCTCACTTAGTAATCTTGTCATCGCTTGCGATGACCACCTCCAAACCTCTCGCCCACAGCGAATAGAGTTGAACGGCCAAGTGCAATGGATATATGCGTATGTGGTTGGTATACGGGTATTCGACCTTTCGACTCCACGGCTTACTTGGTTCCGGTTGTAACAGTAAACTTTACCAACTCCAACCCTAACTCTATACCATCCTGCTGTCTTTCCCTCGTTTAACTACAACTGTGGATTGATGTGCTCTACCTAACCCTCAAGGAATCGAATGGCTCCGCATCATGGTGACAGGAGAAGAAGCTCATGGTGTGCGCACCATCTTCACAGGGGACGGAGCAAAATTAACTGACTTACCTCCAGTTTCCCCTTGGCTCTGGAATTAAGCCATTAACATAACCCAGAAATTTGCAAAGGCTGCTAACTTACGAGAACGACTTGAATTTATATGGTAGACAACAGGTCACGTGATGGAAGGGTCCGACAAGAAATACGCGGTTCATTTCATGTCCCCTTCTCACCTAGTCAAACATCCTAATTGATACGTATACCGTTCAAATTCCTTTTTTTCACTGGAATGAATGCCCTGGACAAGTCGAAGTGGAGAGTGATTACAATGGCAATATTCCTCCTTCTCTTGCCACAGTGGTGAATCTGGAAAACAACCACAGCCAACGTCGCAGTTGACGCAGGGACAGCTGCAGCTGGTAGCCTGATGATCTTTTTCTAAAAGTGCTCATAAAGCAGTCTTCTGAAAAGAGCAAGGCATATTAACATTCTCGGAGCTCCAGAAACGTCTGGATGCCTAAAGACGTATGCAATTTTGGTTGGGAAGCTGTATCTGCCTGATGAAGTGGTCCAGAAGTTGGGCTTCTGCGATCTATCGACCTTCATACAACAGCGATGGTGTAACCAAAAACCGTTGTTACTCCGCCGCCGTCACCGCTAGGTTAGCTAGGTTAGCTAGGAAAATTCATCGCCTCTCATCCAGCAGCCGCAAAATGCAGCAGCGGGATGACCGACGTGCTTTTGCCGTAGCCACAGAGAATATTTGGAACGATCCCGTTCCCATCTGCAGATCCTCCACGAGCTTTGCTGACGTGGAAAATATCGTGTATTACTAAAAAAAAAAAAAAAAAAAAAACTGGGCACGAAATGCTTCCATTTCTGACAACGCACTCAAACGGACCGTCCGTACAGTGCAGACTGAACCTCCATGAATCAATGTGACGCTGCTACTACTTATCCTCAGCCGAACCTTATTTTGGCTGAGACGGATTCCTACCCTACAGAGTACAGGCTACGGAGTTGGAGGTTGCAGATCCTATATGAGTCAACATTTGTTCATTGTCACAGAGCACACCCGTGGTTTCGGAGGTAGATTATCTCTCCATTTGAATTTGTCAGAGCGGAGCTCTAACTTCCAGCCCACATTATCACCTGTGCAGACCCAGTTGATAGCTGACATTCAGTATAAATTACGCGATTTATCAAACCCTTCTGGATGTTTTGACGGCATCTTGAAAATATAGGATCTGGGCTGAATTTGCTGAGAAATCGGAATTACATGGTGGGTGGAGCAGGGGTTCAGCGCCTGAACTGACAACGAAATAGCAACCTCAGAGATGTCTTCCTCCCAGAGATCGTTTGTTTTTATTCTCCATCAGCGATGGACTCCCGTTCAGGGAGCAATCTTTGCATAGACACCTATGTCAAAGCTCCCTTCCAACTCCAATATGTCGTCTAAAAGCAAGTCAAGAACGCGTTGTTGGATTGCTATCAGAGAATGGTCTAACTCTCTATCCGATATGCGTTGTCGAAAATCCTATTCTGGCAGCCGATAGAGAAACTACAAGATATCTGTGACGAGAAATTCTATCCGATGACGACGGAATTTAGCTCTTTATGAGGGTAAAGATCTTCCCCTCTCTCCTGCTTCTTATTATTTCCCATATTCTTTCATTTCCTACATCTGGCTTCCCCCTTTTCTTCATAAATTCTTTTATTACTTTTCCTCCGTACCTTTCTTCCATGTTTCCAAGCCCTTTCAGTTTTCTCCTCCTAAAATAGGATATATGGATTGAAGCGCTGGCAGCAACATGTAGGGATATAACGCCATGGGTGGTAGTGGTAGAGCTAAGAAGACGGCGCTTTTCGTATTAAAAGACTGAGAATTCTACAGCCAAGGGAGTGAAGAAAGTATACCAGGCATGCCCCCCCCCCCCCCAATATTTTTTTTTATTTTTATTTTTATTTTTTTTAATTCTATCTATCCTTCTCACGAAGTTATGTTATGTATATCGTAAAGAAAATTATTTTGTAATTGAAGTAGTTAAATGTAATTGCCCCTAATCATCCCTTTTCGGCTGTATATTACATATGAACCTTGCCATTCCCCGCTCACTGCTATCTATGGATACTTAACTCCTTTGCTGTTAACAGATCTGCTTCATGATTGCAGAGTGTAGAAATCAGATCTATACATGACTGTCCAGTATTTCCAAACGCAGACATAAAACCCGGTGGATAGAAGTAACTAAACAGTGTGTGGCAGACACGGGACAACGGCGCCGATGCCAACGAGAACCCATGCTTTCAAGCGCGCTCTATGCGTAAAAATCTTTGAGTGATGTATTCTCATTCAAATAATTATTTTTTCTTGTTTGTTTTCCGTCAGGTAGGAAGTGAGGAGAAGATTGAATAACAGCTCCCCCGTCTCCTCCACCCTCGCTATGGCTGCTGGTTTGCTGGGTCTGAAGATTCTGTCTGCAAGGCAATTCTTGCTAAAAGCCAAAGGTAGCGTTGTTTCCGCTGTATTAATTTCGTTCCATATTGGCAATATTTTACAGATATATGACTGACAAACGCTTGCAAGGCTTTCCCCAAATGCGGAGCAAACGGTGGACACTTGCTAGTTACTATTATGGGGCTCAGGTTAACTAGATACAATGCGATATCTACCTCTTCAAAGGTAAACATGCCAACGCATCCACGCCAAAAGATAACGGTGTCCACGCTGGGGGTGATCAGAGAAGCGGAGAGAATCTCGTCGTTGATATCTCTCCAGGAAGAAAAGAAGTGTGCTTTTGGCCATTTTATGTACAAAACAGCGTTTCCTTTTCTAAGTCCCAATTCTATTCCCTACATTTGGAAGTGACAATATGCACATATTGAGCCATGTCACTGTATCTTGCTTTGGTATTTATGTATCCTTATATGATGCTAACCTATCCATCCTCGCTTTCCCCCCTCGCTCGGTAGTGGGAGCATCGACAAAGTCGTTAACTGGGCACGGGAAGGTTCCCTGTGGCCTCTCAGCTTTGGACTTGCCTGCTGCAATATGGAAATGATGGCTGTCTCCATGCCTCGATATGATCAAGATCGGCTGGGTACCATTTTCCGCGCCTCACCTCGCCAATCCGATGTGATAATCGTAGCGGATGCGGTAACTAAACAAGATGGGCCCCGCCTTGCGGTTACTGTATGACCAGATGCCAGATCCCAAATGGGTAGTTAATCAGCATGGGCAGCCGTGCATATGGAGGCGGCTATTATCACTACAGCTATAGCGTGGCCAGGTGCGTGGACAAGCTGGTTCCAGTCGATATTTATGTTCCGAGCTGTCCTCCAACGGCAGAGACATTGCTCTATCGGATTATGTTGGTTCGCAAAAAGATTTCCAGAACGAAGAATACGAGAATTATCGGAAATAGCATTGCTTTTATGCTGTAACTTGTTTTACTAGGTGGAAAACAGCTTGCGCTGCGGTGTATCTCTGTGGTAATATCCAAAGGAGTCCTCCACTTCAACATCTCAACTCAGTCCTCTTGTGATTACTATTTACCTGTCTCTTTAGTAAATATAGCTGTGAAATGGACAGCACTCCCATTACCAGTAGCAGAGCTACATTGCGAGGGATGGAATTACCGCTGGTAGGTTTAGGTTCTCTGAGCTTCTCATGCCGCTCGAACCCCAATCAAGGAGTATAAATAAATACGAAGTTAAAAAAGTATATACGTGTTCCTGTAACTAATCAGATACCGCTGCGTCTCATCGTATCTTCTCCCGAACAACCCAGAAAATATTGTCCTGTCTTTCTTAAACAAAATAAATAAATAAATAAATAAATAAATAATTAATAAATAAATAAATAACCAGCGATCTATAATAAAACTCCCCTTAAAATTCGAAACGCCTTGTGGCACTTGCAGTAAGCCAATTTCAACCAAGAAAACACACACCAAAATCCAGCCAGCTAGAGCGTCCAATCAGAAACGCAAAATTCAGAAATCAAACATGAACATGCGTTGCGCCGTCCTTCATTTTATCATCACATCCTTTCCCCTTCCAAAGAGCCCAGCAAATCGTAACAGCTGCCTTGATTCCAGTGGCCAACCACAACGAACTAGCCACCCCAGCTTTCTTAGACATGAACCCGGAAATCATCGCGCCGATAAACAAAGCAAGAAACGTGCCAATGCGACGATTTCTGACTGGATGGACGTGCCATCCGACACCCCCGTCAAACAGCCGTGGATCAATGAGTAAATCGCACAAGACCGTCGTGAGCACGACGGTAGGGATTTCATCCATGTGAACGAAGCGGGATGTAACGATCTGTCCGCCAGCTTGGAAGGCGAGTAAGGATAGCGGGAGCAGTTGCATCCATTCAATGGGATCCGTGAGGAGACCTGGCATGCGTTTGACGACTCCAGTTTGAGCGAGGACGGCAGCTGTAAGGATGGCGAGAGTTTGGATGGCGAAAGAAGTGATGAGGGTGGAGCGACGGAGGGGTTTTAGAAGGCAGGAGCCGTGAGAGAAGAAGAGGATGCCGGTGACGAAGGATATCAAGGCCATGAGAGCTTTGGCCCAACGGAAAGGGGGGTGGACGGGTTGACCAGAGACGCCTAGGGCGATAAAGACAGTGTTTCCTGTATGGATGTTAGTATATGATGATATATTTCTTCTTTTCTTGCAAAAGAAGCCTGCTCTGGATGGATAGAAGGTATAATAGGCACCTGTTTGCATATTGGCGAAACTTCCCCACGCATTAAAAGCCACACTGTCAATCACCCCACTGACGAACGAGCAAGCTAGCAGTAGCATGTCACTCCACGCGGGGTCGACATCCTCCTTGAGATGGTAAACTAGTTTCGAATGCCACGGAAGCTCAGAGATACAGCTCTCCAGGTCAACTAGAGTGAAGGAAGAACTGCGTGAAAGATGGGGCAGGTCATGTTCACCCTTCCTAAGCCGGGACAAATCACGTTCTTCTTGTGCCTGGGAGAGTCGGAGGATGGTGGGGGAAAATTTAACACTACGCTCCTTGGGATCCATCACGTCTGAAAGTTGAGGGAGACTTTGGTGGCTGTAGTCGACCCTCATTCTGACGTTGGGCAAGGGCTCTGCTTATATTCAAGATCGTAGCATGCACCCTCGACAATCGGATATGTAGATCTCGGGGAAAATGGAAGTTTTTGGGCTCCGATTGCAACGGGCATGCATCAACTTCTTTCAGAACGCCACACACGCATCCGTGGAAGTTACAAATCCAGTTTCCAACCTGAGTATGTCAGCAGAGATACGGAGGAAACAAGGAAGAATTCCAATATCGATCCTCGGGTGAACCAGAGTTTCTTGTCCCAGAAACGCACAAACTAATTTGACTTCAGCACATGTTCAAGATAGGGGTGCAGGATTGGCAGCCACGTAAGGACTAGACCAGTTAGGAAATAAGTTTCGATTCTCAAGCTCCTTGAACAAACGTCTGGTGGGCTGAAATGATCTGCACTGGGGGTATCGCATGCCAAGAGCTAGGCAATAATGATCCAGCATCTTATCCAACAAATGAAGGTTTGCGCTGCCAGGGGAATCCTCATCATGACTGATAATGACGCGAAAATGGCTATCGAAGAACTGGAAGCAATAGTGGTCAGAATTGGAGTAATAATAGCAGCAGTCATCTCATCAGTGGTTCAGCGGAGTTCAGGGGCTGGTTCTCAGGTGAGGATTCCCTCCGTTTGTTGGGTCAGGCCGGCCCTTAGCTGAGCTCGGATTCAGGGCCAAGAACTTCCACAGTCCGGGATATTTGGGGCCAAGAGAAGAGATCCACATCGGAGGAAGAGGAAAGGAAGGGAAGGGAACAGAAATAGAACATGAGAGTTGAGATCTAGATGATGATCGTGGATACGTATTGCGAGGAGAGCGGTGATAGCATTGGTCTGTCTATTATTTCTGTTTTTAAGCAATGAGTGGATCCTCTCGCAGTATTGAGAATAATTCTCAACCTCAACAACGTGGAGGAACAAAGATAAGCTTGAACTCCGTTCCAAACAGAGCATTGGATGAAAGAAAAAGAAAAGAATGCGGCGTAATCCGCTGCCGCCAATTGGAGTGATGCAGAGCACATCTATTGAGCCTAGCGCAGCCGCCACCAGGAAATAAAACGCATCTATGGATGCTTTGGTGGTACGGCTAACAAATACCTATGCCCGGAATGAGGCTGTGCTTGATAACAGAGGTTGATAACTAATCTCTGAATCTTAGGCATCCCTGATCAGTGATCGAACAGCAGCAAGTGTGGCCGTGTGGAACAAGTATTTGAACCTATCCACTGCCAGGGAGATTTGGCCTTCCGGTCCCTCCCGACACGTGGACGAAGCATCCCAGGGCCGGATGTTTGAAACTTCACCTGAACCAGTCGTCGAAGCAGATTCATGTCATGGGCAGCTGTTGCTGGATAGAAATTGCTCTGGCAGATCATCGGTAACTAATGACCATCGCATCCGTATGGACGCGTACACATACTGTCACATGACGACTCTCAACCGCTGTCCCAGGCATTGCGAATAATAGCTGAGAGAACAGGTGTGTTGACTCTGTTGAGAAGTGGCTGGGCTGGGCTGGGCTGGGCTGGGATCAACAATTGGTTGCGATGACTCGAGCCAAGCTGAGATGCATATGAGAGTTAAGCAAATGTTTTTGTGATGATTCAGGTTGGCCAGAAGATTCACCGAGCAGGCAGCCAAGCTTTTCACAGAAGTTTTTATACAACGTTCATCCACAGCTCGGAGACATAAGTAATAATTTATATACTCCCGGAGTAGACGCAGGTAAGAACAGAACCCCCCATAGCCCAGATGTCTGGAGGCACACAGAAGAAACAGAAAACAAGAGAGAAGAAAAACAAAGGATCGGATTTGCAAACTATAGGGACCGGGTCCAACACGCCATATCTAGTCGCTATCACTGCTGCTGCTGCTGCTGCTTGAAGAGCTCGAACTATCGCCCTTCTTGCCCTTCTTGTACTTCTTATCCTTCTTCTTCTTTCCGTGCTTCTCCTTGTCCTTCTTATGCCTAATGCAGAGAAAATTGTGAGAACGAAATACATATTGTCAACCCTCGCAGAGGTCGAAGAGATATAACAAGGAGTGGAAATTTAGGACTTACTTTTTAACTGCATGGGACGCAGCGTTTGCGCCCACAGCACCAACAACAGCACCCCCCAGAGTTCCCAACATACCACCTTGAAGCTTATGGCCGACAAAACCCCCAGCAGCACCCCCGAGGAGGGTTGAAGCGAACCCTTTTTCCCCTCCTGGTCCACCGGGCCCACCGGGTCCGCCGGGTGTGCCAGATGTTGGTGGTGCTTGGTTTCCATAGTAGTTGGCATTCTCTCCGCCAGCTTTTTCGGAGGGGTATGCACCGAAGGATGGGGCACGGTTATCATATCCCTGTCCGGGAGGGGCGGGAGACGATGAGCCATACGGCGGTTGCTTAAGGAGAAAAAGGTGTTGTTAAAGGATCGACTCCGTGATGGGTGTGAACCAAAAGCGAAACTGAACATTGTTGCACTGTACATACCTGCTGCTGTTGGGGTGGATAGTATCCTTGCTGCCCATACGGAGCCTGCCCATACTGATCTCCTGGTGGATAGTTTTGAGGCGGATAACCTTGAGGGGGATAGTCGCCCTGTGGTGGTGGTTGCCCGTAATATCCAGGGTGTCCACCTTGCGGACCAGAGTTGTACTGATCAGGAGGAGGGCCTCCGCCGTAGTAGTTTGACATTGTGTTTATGTCTTGTTTATCTTGTTTTGGTATGGCAGAATAGAGACACGGGGGATAGTTAATCGACAGAATCAAAGAGTAAGCGGGAACGGGCCTGACGAATTATATAACAACCGCGCAACCATGCAGCCAAGCAACCGACATCCGTTGATGTTGTTGACGTCGAAATGATTCTGACTGCCGCCTGATCCCGTGGCGCGGTTCTGCTTTGAAACCTGCATTAAAAATAACTAATTAAGTGAACAAACCTGTCCACGGGTCATTGCATCCAGGTTGGCAGAGAGCGTGCGGGGTTTAGCCACTGCTGAAACATCGGCTAGGGAAGGATGGGGATAGTTGAACTCCCAAGCCTCCAGGGACTGGAGTGGATGGCGATCCGTGTGGAGCCGCCATACCCAACAACCGGAGATCCTGCTACTAACATTCATATCATTATCAAATTAATCTTACCCTGGACCATCCTGTGAGAGTTCAAAAGAGAGGTCTGTCAGAATCTGAAGACTCTGACTTTATACTAAGTTAACATTTATGCCAGTCAGTGCTGTTATGATGATGTCTGAAGTAAATATAACTGCCGACCTGATGTTTATCAGTTAAGTAAACTGATAACTTGCTCATAAAAAACTTTTAGGTGAATGAAGACAAACAAGACATTGATTAGTTTTTTAATATGAAATAAACTTAAAATAAAATTGAAATCAAATATATTTTAAAAATGTTTAAATCTCTTGTAATATAGATTAATGAAGTTGAAAAGCTGCAGTTAATTATGAGCTAAACGAAGTAGTGAGAAGGAAAAAGAAAATCAGGTATTCTGAAAGGACATCAAAAGCTGGTAGATTCAAGTAAAAGAAACATGAATAATGAAAAGTCAACACGCTATATGCAGCTTCCTTTGAGTCTTAAAGAACCCGGAAATAACCTTGGAAACAGAAAGAGATTATTGCATAACGCTTCTTCTGGATGAAGCTACAGGGTGCCCGAACAATGGCTTCCGCAGATGATATGACCCGATAAACTCAGAGCAAGAAGACGTAGGAACACGAGCTATACATCTGTACAAAGTATGTAAACATTAAATTAAAAAGAGACAGAAATGAAAGGAGACCCCGGGAAGGGGGGAGAGGAAGAGGGGGGGGGGGGGAGGGCGAATGTAAAGAATACAGATAAGACTACAAAAACTCCAACAGGGCCACTAAATAAACGCTTTCCATGTCATAAAATTAATTACCAGTCCTGACCGCGGTCTTTCATCAAAATCTCGATCGCAACATCCTCCGGAAGAGGGTTCGCGTTTAAGTCCTTGATGCACTCCGTCAAACCACCCGCTGCTTCGTCCACCTGTTCCTCAGACCAGCCAGTGCAAGCCATGACCATTCGTCGATAATTCTCACCCAGAACCACATTTTTCGATTTCAAACTATCCACTTCTCTGTGTATTTCATTATTAAAGTCGTGATAACACTCAAGTCGGGACGTCAGCGTTCCAATAGAAGGAAGAGACTCGAGGAACGCAGTTTGTTTATCTGAGAAACCCACTGATGCGTCAAAATCCTCGGGGAAAAGCGGTTTAAACTGAGATATGTCGAACCCGGGTGAGCTGTCGGCATTCCTAGCATCTAAGATCTCTCTACTGAACTGGTCATCTTGAAGGGTCTCCAGGAGGGTAGAAAGCTCTTCCATTGAGCGCTCTAGGTTCTTTATTTGCCTATTAAGTCCGACGCGATCTTTGGATCTGCGTTTCATATCATCTAGCTGCTTTTGTTCAATCTGCCTTGCCTTGGCACTTTCGCGGATTTTGTTGTGCCACTGTTCGAATTCTTCCTGTTTCTTGCTTAAACCGGCCGAAAGCTCATTGTCCATGCTTCCAAACGACTGTTCAATGAGAGACGAGACCTGGGAGATGGTTACTGCTTATCAGTCAGCAAAATTATATAGTTAATGTGGTTATATGCAAACCAGGAGATACGAACGGTCTAGTAACTCTCTTCGAGTTCTGGAAAGCCGACTGGTGAATGATTCTGATTCTCCATTCTGACCCGGGAGCCCACCATTGACCATATCAACACCAACTCCATAATCTGCAGGACGGAGCCCCGTGTGGTTCGGTATATGCGGGTTTGCGCCCACCTCGAGCAATTGCGGGACCAGAACAGTTCGCGCACGACCAGCTAGGTTCAGCACTGTATCACCCTGGTCATCTTGGATGTTCACCATCTCAGACATAAACTTTCCAAGGCCTATAACCTCAAACTTTTGTTGGCCATTAGAACCATTGGGAGCATTATTAGGAGCCTGTGAGCTGCCAGCTGTTCCGCCATAACGAACAATAAACTCGAGGAGGGATTCAAGATAATGTTTTGCGGCTACATGCCCGCCGCCGCCGGTCGCAGCCATCATGGCGATGTGGTGAAGTACAGTACGGCCATGGTAGTCGACTATCTCTATGGTAGGATATAGTACCTGAAGTAGCTTGGAGAAACTGCGGTAATCAAGGTTGTTCCGGGTCCCTACCGCTTTCTGCAGTGCGGTCTCACCCGCCGCATTCAAACGGAAAATGTTAACACCTTTGTCAATGAGAGCATGTACGAGAGGCATTCGCGCGAGCATGGCAGCCCAATGCAAAGCAGAATTGAAATACTTGTCCAAAGGTATTTCCAAATCCTCAACAGATAGGTTGAGGAAAGCAGGATGTTTAGAAAAATCCTTGGCGCGTTTATCCAGGAATAATGTCATAATAAGTTTCATTTTCTGGTACCTGTCTGGCGTCGTGGCGGCAGGAAGGTGGTGAAGACCCCGTAATGGACCACCTGGCACTGTAGGTTCGGGATACACTTGAGAAAATGAGTTACTCGGTTCCGTAGGCGTGGGTTCAATCATCGAGCTGTTGGGTAGCATTGCGCTTTCGGACTGGAACGGTCGTGACTGAGCGGGTGACGAGCGAATACGTTTTCTAGGAGGTTCCAATGGCTCATCGCCATGATCCAGAAGACCTGTAGGCTGGCTATTTTGCATGTTGCTACCAAACCCACTGTCTGATGCGATGCTTTGCATGCTTTGTTGACTTGCGGACCGAATTTGAGACTCCTGGCTGCCCATCTGAGAAGGAGCCTTAATGCTTGGACGCCGGCCATCTGATCCCTTTCCCACGGGAGAATCAAACCGAGCCTTGTTTATCGCATTTACAGCACTGGCAGCTGTGCGGGAAATGTTCTGGAAATAAGTCCCCTGGGGTGTCTGGCTCATTCCTTGGCCATCCATTGTGCGGTAAAGCCGTTTTCTTTGCGCCGCCATGGCCTGCTCCTTAGTGGGGGTTTGAATTGCTCCTCTGCCCGCGGGGCCAACGCCCATGTCATACTCAAGGAGGGGCCGCAGGAGTTCGAGAACATGGTAGTGGCGACAGAGTTCTACACCTCTCTCGTAGTTGACCCACGTCCCTTGATATTTTCCGTAGCCGCCTTGAACCTTCTCGTGCTCACCAGCAGCCACTTCTTTTTCTAGGGTCTTCGTTCTCCTGGCTTTCATAACGCCAGCCACCTTCAAAATTTGAGTCGCGTTCAGCCAAGAGTCCGAACGACGACGCATGACTGCAACCCCATTTACTTCCATCTCATATACCGATACATTAGAATAAACAGCCTATATACCAGACATACTTTTAGTTTCCGGTTCAGTCGAAATCATGGAATAGCATATTTTCAAACCAAACTTCAGTTCAAGAGTAAAGGAAGAATACGAACAGTATATATTTGCGGCTTAAACTCTTCAAAGGAAACCACCTGGCCATATCCATTGCTATCATCATATCCGCTAAAACTCGCTCTTTGCACGGAGTTGCGCGACACCCCGTTACTTGGGAAACTCATCGACATGTTTGATTGCTGGGAAGTTCTAGGTGGGGGAGTCGCAGCAGGGGTAGAAGCCACATTTTGGGAGGCGTTAAATGATCCCACATGGGATTGCGGCAATGACGAGCCATTAGGAGGGCCAATATTATTTCGCGAGAACGACATGGGGAACAGTATTATGCGCGACGATAGCCGCGCTTTCGAAGGATAAAATCGAAACGTCTAATAAGCGATTGGCGTCTGCTGGGGCAACGAGGGTAGGGTGTGGACCATTAAGAGAAGGTTGGTTTGCGGAATCCGTATTATATTTCTAAATCTGGATGTTAACAGCCAAATTGCCTGTTCCATGTCATTCGGAAATAACTCGTACTTGGTAGAATTGGAAGCAAAAGAGAGGCTGATCATTGGCATACTAGCATGATAGAGAGGCGCGAGGCTGTACCGAATCGCGTGATCAGTTACACTCCTCACTCAAAATAGATTTCAGCAGGAGAGTGGACAGAGACAGATCTCACTCAGGAGTCAGGACAGAGAGGAGAGAGTTAATGTAACATGGGACAAGCAGCCGCCATTCCCGCCGCTAAGTGTATATGTGTTTGTTTGTAGTAGACCCGATATTCTGTTCGCCGTGTTGAGTCGCGGGGTTGGTTCCGTGGGAGTTCGCGTGGAGCCGCGTTGGATGATTCAGCATGATTAGTCAGCACTCGGTCACCGGAAGCGTTAAACTCAATCGGGAAATCCTGGACCCTTTAAGCCTGGGTTCATTCTCTTCTCGATATGATCATCAATCCGTGCAGGCATTGGCTTTACGTCGGGATTTGCGGTTTCATACTAGAATCCGAGGCATGTGGGCATAGTCATGTCGCTGCCGCCTCCCCAGATTCCTCATTGGCGGCATGTCTACAGAGCACTTCTCAGAGAATCTTCCTATCTCCCCGATCCAATTGCTCGCGAATACATGTCCAAACATGTCCGCGAGACCTATCGAGCATTCTGGCCAAGAGTAGTGCCAAACTCGTATGCTGGGCCCAATGGCCAGTTTTACCTGGAACGCCGGGCAAGAAAGCACCTCTCCCTTCTCTCCCGAGCAAACGAGGGATATTTGAAACCTCTACAACGAGTTTTAATGTTGTCCTATGGCCGACTCGGAAGACGACGACATGTTCTGGCGCGTCCATTCTTCGTACCGAATTCCGCTCCAAACAAAATTCCCTTTCGATTTATTATCCCCCCGACATGTCCACTTAATTGGGAGCCTATTCCCTCCCTATCTGCGTTAATGAACTCCCAGATTGAGAACCACCACGTTCGAGATATCGCTGTAACGCCAGTAGTTCGGCAAATCCCGCAACCAAAGAAGAGTATCTGGGATGGTCATGTGTCAAGGAGAAAAGAGCAAAAAGCTACGGAAAAGTGGTACAACATGATCATCAAAAGCATTCTCCCTCCCATTCCAGATCAGGAATGGAACATCTTATACAATCTGGCAGTTGGCAAGGAGCCATGGGCGTTGCCAAAGAGACGGAAACGACTAGTCACAAATGAGGACGAAAGCGCTTTTGACGCTGAGTTCCTGGTCTTTGGTCCCCAGAAGGGCGACACATTCGAACCATACGTACGTGGAAGGCCGCATATAATCACACGAAAACTCATAACTCCGTTATGGGAGCGGGTGCTTCTGGTGACCCCACGGATGACACAGGATCCAGAAAATAAAAAATGGGTAGTATGCTGGGGAAAGCCGGTCAGAGAGGTTACCTACTTCCGAAAATTGGATCCTAAGATAGGTATTGGTTTGTCTTTGTTTGATGGTGTTGATAGCGTTACTGGAGCTTTGCTGAAGCCCAAAATGGCGCGAATACCGAAAGCAATGGACCCCTCACCGTGAAATTCATTACAGTGGCCACCCCACGTATTCCGATTGTCCGCCGTTCCTTGCTTGACGAGCGCAGTCCACTGAGATATGTAGTGATCTCAGTGTGTCTTCGGGACATGATGAAATACTTACCAAATTTCTTATCGTATTCGTTCGCTGACTTTCTTGGCATCTCCCAATATATCTTACCAATGGGGCCTCAGCTCATGAGGCGTCCTATCGAACCCCATGGCACTGCTAGTCCTGCATTTAAAAGGCCATATCGACTCAAACCGCTCTAAATATGCTATAAAGCGGGAAATGGAAATTGAGAAGTAAAAGACGTCAATCCATTTCATGCGTGAAAACTGGAGTCGAATACAATGAACTCGTTCTAATATTTTCTAATAGATTACTTCATATAGACCCAACCCGTTATAATATCCTCGACCATTCCAAAAACAATTTTATCGGTGGGTGTACGAGGAGGAGAAATCCTGGTGATATTTGATATTCTAAGCTGTATTACTACCTCATTTGACATGCAGAGCAGAACAGAAACACCACAATACAAGCTTGCACAATGCGCCAGCCTGCTTTTGGAAGTTGTCCAATCACTCCAACATAGTAGTACATGCTAGTTAATTTTTGAGTTGATACCCATCCCATGTAGACTCACCACGCCCTGAAAGACTTTTAACCCCTCACCTCCCCTCAACCTTCCTCTTCAAAAACCCGCAAAAGCTCTCGAAAACCACTGAATCAAACCCCTTCACCCATCGCACCACCACATTAATCTTCCCTTCCATCGTCCTGCGCATTGACACTTTAAGTCCAATCTTAGCCCTCTTATCTTGAACACCAGGAATAAAATCACCGTGTGTATCACCCGTTCCCTCCCCGCCCTCACCTTCATAATACCTGGTGGTATCAGCAGTATTCTCAGAACCTGTCCGCGGGGCCGTCCCAACTTCCACAGCTTGCTCCTTCTTTCTCTGCCGGCGTGCATGTCTAGACCAGACATTTCCCATCGCGAAGCCGAGGCCCGTAGAAGTTTCAGTGTTCCAGTTCCAGGACATGTCAAGCGCCGTGAGGGCAGAGTTGATGGTTTCGATGGTGCGGGATAGTGAAGTAGACGGTGGGCAACAGATTGTGAATTCGGATGGGAAGGGGAGGAGGTGTTTGGGGATACTTTGGCCGTGGGGTCTTGCAATATCCTGCATTTGCGTAAGTTAGGATTGGACCCTGGGGGCAAATTTGTCTGGCTGCTGATCATCTCGCGGCAATGATATGACGACGCCTTAAAATCCTAAGTGTTGGCGCAATGGAGGAGCAAGACTCACCGTCGAAGGTCGGTAATCCATCCAAGACCACGCGATTCCCCATCTTCTTGTCTTCGTTCCCTGGACGAATTCCGCGATGGCCCAATTCTTATTCCCTTCGTCATGCAAGGTGTTGACAAGCGTAGCGACACTGCTGAATTTCCCTACCATAGAGGTGTACCACTGTACGCGGTCACGGAGTTGCATGCTTTCCTTAATCAGGCGGGTGACGAACTCGACTTCCCCGCCGGTTGTAATCATTTCTACCTCCGCACCAGTGCATGCCTGGATTTAGGTTGTGTCAGTTCATAGCGTTAAATAAATGCTGTAGATAGTTTATGGCATTTGCACAATCTGGAGGGCCTATATATGCGCCTCTGCTTGCTCTTGAACAAACGACATATAAAATACCTACTGTGAAAGGAGGCCTTTGCTTCATCTCAGCAGCCGATATCAGTTCCTCGCGAGATTCATAGAACGGTGGATTGCACATGGTGAAGTCCAGTCGACTCCTCCTAATGAGTTAACTACCGTGAGCATAATTTCCGTTCTACGTACTCACAAGAGAGGGAGGAAAAAGCCCTTACGCTTGAGGGATATTGATATCCTGAAATGGAATCAGCGGGCAGGAACTAGTAGTTTCAATAACGTGAATACGGGAGTCAAGCTCGTTCTTCTTCACATTATCCCGAGCATATTTGAGATTTTTTGAATCGATATCTTGGGATTTTCCACATAGTTAGTCGAGTGATATTTCAACACATGAGGGAGAAGAACATACCCGTCGCTGCGAATCTCCATCTTGGCCTTAGGGCACATCCAAGAAGCGGATAGATGCAACTAGCACCAGTTCCTCTGTATATTTTATCATCCAGGAGATTTAGCAGAGATGATTTACTTTTTCAGATGATATTTGCTTGGAAACATCTCCCATCTTCCACTGACAACGTAACTCACATGTCGAGCCCATAAACATCCTTTTCCTGATCGCAGACGTCAGAATAGTTTTCGGTCGTAAAATCGATGAGATCCTGAAGCCAGAGGATGTAATTGAGGCTTCCAGAACCAGGGGCCGCACGTTAGCATATGGGGCGCGATTTTCAAAGGTAATGGCCAGCATCCGTGCAATAATTGGAGGGATTCAAACATTCATGGGAAATGTAAAAACTCACCGATTAGGAACCTAGTTGCACCCGGACATTAGCAATAATAATGTCCCACAGCCGGGCACGGTGGACAATTTTCCGGCACCGACCCTGGCATAGTGAAAAATAATATCGAACATACAGTGGGGCAGAGTCGATCGTCAGGCAGGTCGACATCCAAGCCAAAATCTCTTTTCAGTAGGCTCTTCGTCAGTTGTCTGGCGGATGAATGGCATCAGTATACCAGCCCTCATTGCACGGTAATTTACACCAAGAACGGAGATACTGACTGGACAGCGTCCGGATTGGAGAAATCGAGTTGATTATTCTGCTTCAGGCTGTTGATATATGTCAATGTCAACCAGCATCAGAGTCCCAACGGAGGTAATTATGGTGTATTCTTGCTCTTAATCGTTTTGTATGTACGGAGCACAATATTCTCAGCTGATGATATGCAACTAGCACTCACTGTTTGGCAAAATCGGGGTACTGAAACGCGAGTGCAGCAAAGTCCACATCATTTTTATAGATATTCCGTGTAGTATCCATAGTTAGTCGAAGTATCTGTTCTTATCTAGTATATTTTGTTTGTTTATTGGTTTATTCGTCATTTTCATTGCTCCCATGTGCAGTTGGTTAAGAAGAAGAAATGGTTGACGTTGTCTCGATGATAATTGGGTGTCGTTTATAGTGTCATTCACATAAATCGCAGAGCATCGTCGCCATCACGGATAAACCCATTGCTTATTGAGAGACAGAATTGAGTTTTACACAATCCTGCAAGATAAAATGATTTATTACTGTAACAAACCATAACTATATCCACAAACGAATAGTGCAATAATATTTGTCCTAGACAACTCATCCATTCCAGTCAACTGATTTCTCTCATTTGGAGAGAATGTAGCTCCTTATATCAATGACCACGTTTCCTCCCGCACACCCACCTCTTTTAAGAGTTTCTCATGTCCCGTGCAAACTTCACCTTCATGTCTTGGTTACCGAGTGGCCTCGCTGTAAGCGACTGCCGTTGATATACAAGGTCACCAAATATGGTATGTAGGTTAGTATACGCGGCCGCTGGGTATTTGCGCTCGTTGGTCCCCAGCGTTTCAAAGTCGAAGCTACGCAGAACGATCAACAGCACCATGCGCATCTCCATCATAGCCAGGTCCTGGCCAATGCAGGCCCGCGAGCCGCGTTCAAATGGACGCCAAGCGTCTTTTGGAACTATCTGTGTTGTGAAACGCTCTGGTTGGAAGTCGCCGGGCGAAGGGAATATTTCTGGGTTGTAATGGATTATCATGTTACAGATTAGAATTATCTGGTCTGTCAATGGAAGCTTTTTACCTTCGTACATGACGTGGAGGCTAGCATAAACGAAAAACGGGATTAGCTTTGTAATATGACAAAACAAAAAAAAAAAAAAAAAAAAAAAAAAAAAAAAAAAAAAAGCCTTCAGGGAGTTTCATCTTACCCCTCGGCGCTGTATCTGGAGACACTGCCAATAGGGAAAAGTCTTAATGATTCCTTGATGATGCCAGTCGTGTAATGGAGGTCATAGAGTCTCTCGGGATGTGCCCTTATGAGCTCCACTGTGCGCTTGAAATCTGGATCAAACACTTGATCATGCTCCAAGCGAGCTTTCTGCAGTGCATCAGGGTGTTTGGATAGAAGCATAAATATATACTACATAGGAAAGGAGATGTCAGCGTTTTAAATTTTTGTCGGGTGCCCTTTTCTATCAATTGCATTCTCTTACTCCGAGAGTATGGGCTGTAGTTTCGTGTCCGGCAATCAGAAATGATTTGATACTTCAGTCATCTCTACATTAGCAAGGTGGAAACATGTAAAAAAAAACCGATATTGAAAGGGGCACATAGAAGACGAGCTGACGTCATTAAAAAAAGGGTAGGCAAATACTTCGAAATTGCCATCTCCATGAAGTCCCTATCGCCGACGATGCCCTCCTGTTTATCTAGCTTCCGTTTAAGAACCAAATCTAGAAGAGTTCTTGATTTCTTGACAGACGATCCCTCCTTCTTCATCTTATCAAAACGAGTGATCATCTTCTTCTCTACATATCGGTCAACTTTTCGCACCATTCTCCACGTTGGGATCGCGTACAGCAACCGTCGGCCAATATGGCCTCCCTCGAAAACATAGTCCAGACCAGTTCTAAAGGTTGATACGAAATCTTGTCCTTCCTTAGTATGAAACGGGCTGTCGAAAACGGCACGTCCAATCACATTGAATGTCATTTCGACGTTGATATCTGACATCGAAAATTCTTCCTTAGACCTTGCAAATTTGGCTAACTTATTGTAGTATAATAGAACTTCATCGACCATACTATCCGTCAACGTACGGACATAAGCCGGAGAAAATGCAGGAGCAAAGATAGAGTGCAAAGCCTTCCATTTCGCGCCATTCACAGATATTATTGAGCTCTTCCCCAAGAATGGGCAGAGGAACTCGTTCAGCGCAGGGGCCTTCGGGAATGCCTGCTCTGTAGTCACTTGGGCAGCGAGCTCGGGGGTACAAAGTATTACCATGGGATTTGCAA